CGCTTTGATGTCATGGTCATGTGCCTTCTTCCCAAACCAATGGAGTTTGCCAGGGTAAGTGAAGGCCGATAGCTGGGGCCTGGCTGGAGAGGAGGACTTGGGGAGAAGCACCACCTTAGCTGTTAGAGTGTGATCAGTGTCTGTAGCAGAGGAAAATGTCTTCATGTTTTAGTCGGTACAGCTAAATGAGTTTAGTTTAGTGGATACATTTTAGGTGATGTCCTGCTTCGATGTTGGTTTGGGATGGGGAAGAATGGAAGATGAATGTGTGAGGTATCTTTAAGAATTTAGTCCGGCTGGCATGGCTCAGTGGTTGTGTCGACCTATGAACTGGGAGGTCACGGTTCGATTCCCAGTCATGGCACATGCCCGGGTTGTGGGCTTGATTCCCGGTGTGGGGCATGCAGGAAGCAGCTGATCAATGGTTCTCTCTCATCATTGATGTTTCTATCTCTCTCTCCCTCTCCCTTCCTTTCTGAAATCAATAAAAATATATTGAAAAAAGAATTGAAGGGAGTATTCTTTCCTGACATTGCTGAAGATATTTTTATATCAAGAAACAGAAAATAAAAGCCTCTCTGTGAGGGTGCTAGAGCGCAGTCCTTTTCTGGGCTACAGTCTGTGGAAAGGCTAACGTTTGACTATGGGCAGTTTCTGTGGTTTCACATATATCCTGGAGAGGAATGGTGGAGTCCTTGCCCTCCCACTTGGAATGCCAAAAAGCTTCGGAGCAGCCAAATCTTTTTTGTTTTCTCCTCTGACTTATAGGTCACATTTCCCTGTGTTTATCCTTTGGCGCTGCCTCAGTGGATCCCAGGCTTCAGATGTGTGGTTGAGAAGACCCCTTATTTCTTGACTACATTATAATTTGTGTCTAACCCAGAGTCAGTTTTTTCTAATTTTTTTTTTCAGAGTCAGTTTTTGGCAACAATATATGAAATTTTTTTCAAGGTATTTTTTAAGTGTGTGTGTGTGTGTGTGTGTGTGTGTGTGTGTGTTTTCTTTCAAGGATATCTTGAGGCAATTTTCATTTTAAATAAGACATTTAAGAATAAAACAGAACACAGACCATCTAAAAGTGTAGCTTTTTGTTAGATTTTCTGGACTTGAGCGTTCTGGGCATTTATCAAAATGCACTTCTTCTTTGGTGCCACCTACTGACTCACATATAAAACTGGATTTTTACATAATGGAAATTCCCCACTTCTTGGCATTCTTTAAAAAAAAAAATATATATATATATATATATAATTGATTTCAGAGTGGAAGGGAGAGGGAGAGAGAGATAGAAACATCAATGATGAGAGAAAATCATTAATCAGTTGCCTCCTGCACGCCCCACAATGGGGATCCATCCTGAAACCTGGGCATATGCTATGACCGGGAATTGAACTGTGATTTCCTGATTCATAGGTCAATGCTCAACCACTGAGCCACGCCGGTTGGGCTTTCCTGGCATTCTTTGTCTGTGTTGATATGTTTTCTATTATTGTTTCTTTCTGAATAGCATAGGGCTGGTGTGATCTTCAAGATACGAAGAAATGATTATATTGGAAGGAAAACTTCTCTAACTTGGGCCCCATGATTGGGGGCCTGTGTATTAACTGGCAACAGACATTAACAGAAGAGATAAAGTTATTTGCACTTTTATGCAGGAGTACTCAGATATGAATAACTTTCTCAACACCCACAGATACAAGGTTTTTAGTACTTGAATGTGAAGATAAGGCAAGTTCTTTTGGGCTTTTTGATGGATCAAAGCCCAAAAGGAACAAAGTTTATAGTAATAGAAATCTGTTTTTCTCTCAAGTACAGGTACAACGGCACATATTTGTAATGGGTTTGTCAAACTTTAGAAATAGAATGCTCCAATAGTATTCCTGGTAGGAATACCTTTTTGGAATTTTCAGTGGGACAATTCACATTCAGTTGTGATTAATATTTGGATCGATTGTAACTATGGTTTTTTTTCTTCTTTTTTTTTGTAACTAATGGACCCTGATGGTAGATTCTTACAGATCTCACTCTGAGAACACTGGGCCCAGGATTCAGATATAATGAAATGCTTGCGTATAATTGTAACAAAGTGCGTTCTGTTCTTTTCTCCTGGGCTGTGGAATGCCACCAGGTTGGTGGATACTGGGATAAGTCTTGCAGCACAGTGACGCAGCTGAAGGAGGGTCTCAACCGAATCCTCTGCCTGATCCCCTACAATGTGATCAATCAGTCTGTGTGGGAGTGTATTATGCCGGAATGGCTGGAAGCCATCAGAACAGAAGTCCCAGATAACCAGTTAAAAGAATTCAGGGAAGTATTAAGGTGGGTAAGTAGTTTAATGAAGTCACTGTAATTATAATAGCTAACATTTATTGAGCATGTACTGTGTGCCAGGCACTGTGCTAAGCCTTTTATATAATCTTGCTTACTTTTTAACAAAATCCTATAGAGAAACTTGAAGGCCCAAATGAAAGAGTTGCTATATATCATGCTAAGATGATTTGGAATTGTTCAGAAGAGATTTTGTTCTTGTGGAATAATAGATATACCATATTATTTGCTTATTTTCACACATAATTATGGTTTGGATAAAGTGCAAAAGGAAAATGTTTTTAGATGCTGGGAAACAACTCTCATTCTTTAGAAATGCAATGCCTCCCATTAAATCTAATGTGAGTATGAACACTAATGCTATTTACAACCGTATGAATTATTTATATCTATTCCAATGACATAAGCTATTCCTGTAAAATGAAACATGCTAATAACAGTTCAGAACACAGACTAATCTGACGTGTTTGGCTTCCCAAAATAAATATTAGAAACGCACGGGTAGGTCCTACTATGTGCCCATTGGTCATTTACTTTTGTTGCTCTGCTTTCCAGCAAAATGTTTGACATTGAGCTCTGTCCTCTACCTTTTTCAATGGAAGAGATGTTTGGCTTTATTAGTTGTCGGTTCACAGGATACCCTTCTTCTGTGCAGGAACAAGCCTTACTGTGGCTGCATGTAAGTGAATGATACTCTGGATCATTGTGGGCACTGGTTCTTAGCCTACGAACTTTGGATCCTCAGGTAGAGTGGCGGGGAGTTATTGCAGAGTCCATAATCTGTATGTTTGCTGAGGACTATCTGTAGACTAATAATTCATATGCGTAGGTAATTGCATTTTAAATATATGTAGCTATAGTTGTGATTTATTAATAAAACACAAATGTATGTAGTACTATTACTAAATTCATAGTAGCTTTTGGTCCTTATCTTTCCATCAATAGATACTAAAAGTATTCTAGCTGTGTTGTGGGATTCTGATAAACTTTTGATATTAAATAGGTCCTTTATTTGGAAAGGTTGAGAGCTACTGATTTTAGGGGTAGTTCATGCTGTTCACTCAGCCTGGAATGACTTTCTGTCCTGTCTCCATTTGTGAACTCCAGCTTCTCTTTTAAAATCCAACTCAAAAAGGATCTCCTCTATGATGTTTTCTGCTGCTTCGCTGTCCCCCATCTTCCCATCAGAATTCATTATTCCTTCCCCCAGTATTCACACAGGTTCTCTCTGTGAATACTATTTCTGTCTAATATTACAGTTAATTTTTGTCTCTTCTCATGGTTATAAATGCCTTGAGGGCCAGGACTATGTCTTTTTCATTTTTGAATTTATATCTCCCTTCATCTTTTCTTCTCACCATCTGGGACATGTTTTGAATTTAGTGGGTATTCTTAAAAGTTTACTAAATTGAGTTGAATATCTGATTCGAAGTTTGGGCAATTTTTAAAAAGGAGGGCAGGACCAATGTAGAGGTTAGCGATGGGTGCAGACACGTTTCTGTTTCATGGAAGGATGTGATCCCTAAAGTTTTTCAAGTTGTGAAGATGCCTTTCTGGGCTCTAAACCAAGGAAGAGTATTTTTCACAAATGACGAAGAGTAAAGGAGATGATTAAAAAAAAAAGTCACCTTTGGGACCTACAACTTTAACTTTTTATCCCAAGTTAGGTCTCAATAAGATAACTTCTCATTTTAGGAAAGCTAATTCTTCTAAAGATGGCTAGATGTTGTTACTCAGTTGTACACCCTTTGAGCTGTGCCATCTAGGGACAGGACTGTAAACCTCTGTCCCCACCACGGCTGAAACGATTACAGTTTACATGTTTTATGGTTTGGGCTTTGCCATAACTTTGGTTTGAAGGCAGTGCTACAGTTGAAGGAGGATGTAAGCCACTGGTATTAGCATTTGGGAAATAGAACAATATAGTGATTGGAGTGGACTCATTTATTAATTAAATGTGGAAACATTTATAGAGCTCCTCTGTGCCAGTCGCTGTAATAGGCGCTGGGATACAACTGGAGAAGCAATGGTCCTTTCCTCCTACTTCCTTTCTTCAAAGAGCTCACAGTGGGAGAGATCATATCAAATAATCAGATGTAATGCAAAGTGATACTTGCTCTAGTAAAGGTATATAGAAAGTTCTAAGAAAGCAGAGCAGAGAATGGATTAATTCAGTCCAAAGGAAGGAGGCATCTATTCCCAGAAAATTCATTACAGATAAGGTAACTTGATTTTGGCAGGATACCTGAGCTTGCTCCAGAGAACAAGAGAAGATGGGACATTCAGATGGGAGTGGGGACATGCTCACAGATTATTACTAGTTCAGGGCAAAGGTGATGAGCTAAGGCATTAGCAGTGGCATGGAAAGGAGGGACCACAGAAAGAGGCACTTCAAAGTGTTAATAGAAAGAACCTGATGATTTATTGGATGTGGGGAGTGGGGTTCAGTGGTACCATTGATTTTCTTAGTACAATACATTGACGATGACTATGCTGATAGAATATGTGGAAGGCTAAGCGTCCTTATGTTCAATAGTTCACTGATAAAAATGTTAGGTGTAATTTTATTTGAATTTTAAAGTTTATATTTTTGGGGGATATATATGCCTTTTTCCCTCAGGTATTATCGGAGTTAGACATCACGGTTCCACTTCAGCTATTAATAAGCATGTTTTCTGATGGAGTTAATTCTGTCAAAGAACTGGCAAATCAAAGAAAATCAAGAGTCAATGAACTGGCAGGGAACCTTGCAGCTCGAAGGGTAATTATGCCACAACTGTTTTTGTCTTATTAAGATTTTGCGGATTATACTGGGTCTAAAAGTAGCATCACGTAAACTTCTCTGAAAATGCTTTTTCATTCCAGCTCTCTCTGGAACCTTTTAAGCACATAAGTAATAGAAAGCATTAATCTAATATATGTTTGGTTAAGTCCGTAATTAATAAGTTAAGTTATTGAGTTTTCATTTTTCTTTGAGTTTTTCTCCTATACATACCTATTAGTTATCTCTTATCTTTGATGAAAACAAAAATAAAAACAAAAAACCCCCCCACCGCTTTTTGGGTACTTTTTTGGGGGGGGCGGGCGGTTGGGGGGGTCCCTGGCAAATAAGAATTCTTTACCAGCTACTGAGTGGATAGCTGCTTTACTTTAAGGATGAAGAGTTGGATGTTTTTTTTTTTTTTTATTGTGTTTTGGGAAGATAACATCATCTGGGGGTGACCATGAGTGATACTGTCACTATGAACCAACTAAGTCCATTTTATTAACCCCTTTAAACCCATTTTATTGACTCCTTTGAACCTTTGTGGATGAGAGAAGTCAATATAATCTGGTCCAAAGTGTATGAAAACTGTTGGAATTTTTTTTTATACTCCCCTGAGGATATGTTTTTTATGCTCACCTGAGGATATGTTTTTTGTTGATTCCAGAAAGAAAGGAGGGGGGGAGGGAGGGAGAGAGAGAGAGAGAGAGAGAGAGAGAGAGAGAGAGAGAGAGAGAAAGAGAAAGAGAAAGAGAAAGAAAGAGAGAGAAGAGATGAGATGAGAGAGAAACATTGATCAGTACATGCCCCAAACAGGGATCAAACCCACAACCTAGGTATGTGCCTGACTGGGAATTGAACCCACAACCTTTTGGGGTATGGGACAATGCTCCAATAACTGAGCTATCCGGTCAGGGTTTGTTGGAAGTTTTTGATACTTTTTCTGTGGATGACCTGATAGAATTTCGGGTTGATGTAATGACATTCCCAGACCATCATCAGTTTGGAGAGGTTGACTCACATCTGATGGTGCGTAGGGACTGTTCTAATTTTTCTCTTTGTCAAGCCTCTCCATTACATTTTCCCCACTGTATACCACAGGCCCCCCATCATTCCACCTGATATCTGCGGATTAAAAAATATAACAGTCATGGGATCACAGTTTGTATTCAGTGCTTTTTAAAAGATCTGCCTCTTAGGAACCAGCTGCCATTTATAGTTTACTTTTTTCTTCTGTAATCTTTAATATTATATTACTTCATTAGCACTTTATTAATAATTAATGACATCACAGAAATGTGAAGCATTTGGGGAAGAGCTCATTATTTTCATTTTACAGCTACTTAACCTGAGGTTAAGTGAACTGAAGTGATTTGCCATAGATAACCCTATCAATATCCAGGTATTCTGATTCTTAATGGGATACTCATCTTTTTTTAAAATATGGTGTTCAAGGAGCTGGCTTGTTATTAGAGAAATCTTTAAGAGAGAAAATACGTTTTGAAAATGAAGTACAGGCATGTCAGTTAGGGCCCTGCTACAGAATTTATCCCAGATGGTTCAAATGAAAGGACTTTCATGGAAACTCTGCCTATAGAGTTATGGGAAAGTTTAAGGGAGCAATAAGGGTTGGTGAGCTATTGGTGAACCCACAGTTCAGTAGGAAACCATTATTCCTCTAGGGCTGAAAGAACAGGGAAAATCGTTCCTGAAGCCCATGCAGAGCTGAAATGATAAGGGGAGGGCTGGCTAGAGGAGCTATGGGATGATGGAGAGGCTGCCAGAGATGTAGCATCAGAGCAGACAAAGGGTGGGAGGAATAGTCCTACCTATGTCTTCTTAAGCTTCAGGTCTTCTGCTGGCACCTCCCATTGACATAACACAACTGGAAGCCAGGAATGACTCAGTCCTTGGCATTCTTGGGCTTAGGTGCAGGGAAGAGCAGGGCAATGAGAGCCTGGGGGGGTTGTGTTGGCACATGGGGGTTGGTTGGCACATGGAGAATAACCAGTAAACAGGTTTGAGTTGTATTGTTTTCCCAGGATAGTTTAATAATTATAATACCCAGAGGCCATTTGTCTTTAAACAGTCTTGTCAATCTGAATTCTGTGCTTATATTTCTAAAGCTAATCCTGCAATATTTTACTTCTGTTAAATTCTCATGTTTTTTTTAGGTTATGGTTTTAGGTAGATGCAGACAATTTAGTTTAATTAGAAATGTTTGATGGGATGAAAAATATAGTGACAAAGACAGCTGCCTTCATTCTTTAGAATGCTGATGTTTTATTCACCTGACAGAAAGTTTGGATAATTTTATTTCTTATTTTTGCATTTTGAGAAGATTTATAGTAGTTGGAGGTACTAACGCTATTGGCTAAGAAAGGAAGTCAGTGTGGCAGCTGGAAATACCTTCCGATATTTTACACGCCATTTGAGCCTCTGCAAGGTCACTTACGTATGTTGATGTTCCTTCTAGGTGAGTGTTGCCTCCGATCCTGGTCGACGAGTTCAGCACAACATGCTGAGTCCATTTCATAGTCCTTTTCAGAGCCCATTTCGGAGTCCTATGCGTAGTCCTTTTCGTAGCCCTTTCAAGAACTTTGGACACCCAGGAGGAAGGACTATTGACTTTGATTGTGAAGATGATGAAATGAATCTAAATTGTTTCATCCTCATGTTTGATCTTCTCCTGAAGCAGGTAGCTGAAGCATGAGCTTCCTTTAGTTCAGAGATGAAGGATGAGGAGAGCATTTGTATAGTGATTTTGTGTGTGTGTGTTGGATATCTTCACACTTACTGAAATGATGCAGCATTACTCAAGACATTTCTCAAACTCCTTTGGGAATTTCCTAAAGAGCCTGAAAAAATACTTGTATAAATATCTGCAATGATATTGACATATGAGAATGGATATGAATTTTAGAAACATCTTAGCTTTATTAGAATTGATTCTTTTGAACACATTTGGTGAACATATTGGGTAATGCAATTGTTGGGGGAAGAGCAAGGAACAACTCTATAGTGATGGGCTGAGTTTAATATATTTTATAAATTGATTTTTTTAAATATATTTTATTGATTTTTTACAGAGAGGAAGGGAGAGAGATAGAGAGTTAGAAACATCGATGAGAGAGAAACATCGACCAGCTGCCTCCTGCACATCTCCTACTGGGGATGTGCCCGCAACCCAGGTACATGCCCTTGACCGGAATCGAACCTGGGACCTTTCAGTCCGCAGGCCGACGCTCTATCCACTGAGCCAAACCAGTTTCGGCTATTTTATAAATTGATTTTTGAAGGTAACTTTAAAAGAGAAGTTTAAGAGGTTTGGTCAGAGGAACATTTCTTTTTAATTTTTAATTTTGAAATAATTTTAGATTTGCAGAAAAGTTGCAAGAATAATACAAAGAATTCCCAAATACTTCTCCCCTAAATTTTTCAGATGTTAACATTTAGCACATTTTATTCTTTCTTTTTCTCTTATTCTGTAAATATATGTATGAAAATTTAATGAACCATTTGAGAGTGAGCTGCAAGCATGATGTTCCTTTAGCCTTAAAATTTCAGGATGCATTCTCTAAAAAAATAAGGACATTTTCTTCCATAACCAAGTACAGTTATCAAATCAGTAAATTAACATTATTATAATACTATTATGTAACTTACAGAAATAATTTGTTTTTAAAATTGATATAACTATCATCTTTATAACAAAAGAAAAAAATTATTTTTGAATGAGAAAACAATCCAGCATCGCCTATTGCAGTTATTTCTCCTGCCTCATTAGTCTTAACCAGAGTAGTTCTTCAGTCTTTGTTTATCTTTTATGTTCTCGACATTTAAAAAAAGTCCAGTTATTTTGTAGAATGCCCCTCAATTTGACTCTCATATTTCCTTATGAATCGATTTGGGTTGAGCATTTTTTGGCATTAATACCACAGATATGATATTGTGTTCATTTCAGTGCATCAGATCAGAAAGCACATGACATGATAATGTCTCCTTATTGGTGGTGATAACTTGGTTAAGGTGAATTTTGCAGATTTCCCTACTATAAGTCGTTATTTTCCCTTGTAATTAATAAGTAGCTTGTAGAGAGATACTTTAAGACTATGAGATTTCCTGTTTCTCATCAGACTTTTACCTGCTAGTTTAGCATCCATGGATGATTCATGCCTGAATTAGTTATTACTATGAGGGTTATCAAATAATTATTTTCTGATTCCATCATTTAAAAGAATTATTAGTTGGCATTCTATAGAAGGAACAGTTTTCCCTTCTCTCCCATTTATATATTTATTTGTTTATCTACTTACTAGAGGCCCAGTGCATGAATTCGTGCACATGTGGGGTCCCTCGGCCTGGCCAGCAATCAGGGCCGATTGGGGCTGGCCAGCTGGGGGAGGGACCGCAGGAGGTTGGCTGGCCACAGGAGGTTGGCTGTGGAAGTGCACTGACCACCAGGGGGCAGCTTCTGCATTGAGCACATGCCCTCTGATGGTCAGTGCTTGTCATAGCGACCGGTCGACCAATCATTCGGTTGACCGATCATAACAGTCGCTTAGGCTTTTATATATATATATATATATATATATATATATATATCCTCATGTACTCATTGATTCTCATTTTATTCAGTGGGTTAGAATTTGTTTCAGTGGGTTAACTTTTATTTTGATGCTTACATTATCCCATGTTTTGCTAGTGGGAGCCCCTTCAAGCTGGCTCCTGTGTTCTTTTGACATGGTCCATCATTCTTTGAACAATTCCTTAATTTCTGGCATGACAAGACATGCCAGGCTCATTTTATATTTTCCTCGCCCCACCCCTGAAACTAACCATTTCTCCAAGGATCCCTGGTTCCTTTTAGTGGATAACGGTATTTAGAAACCAAAATCTGGACACTAGGTAAGGAGCAGCATTTTCTAAATGTGTAAAACCTCAGAGAGTGATAAGTTTTAAAAAACAACGCCCTTTAAATGTCCTACATGATTTAAAAAATAATTCTTGTTACTTTGTCTTATGTATATAGTCTATTAAGAAGAATCCATGGAAATCAGTGTATATTCATGGTCTATAAGTCTAACCATCTTTAAATAATTTAATATTGTCAATTAATGAAAAGTTTCCCCCATTAGTGTGTCAATGCAATAGTGGACAAAAGGACCAAACTCCTTCTTCTTCTTCTTTTTTTTTAATTGATATCTTTCAGATGGAGTTACAAGATGATGGGATCACGATGGGTTTAGAGCACAGCATATCGAAAGACATAATTTCCATTATAAACAATGTCTTCCAAGCCCCCTGGGGGGGCTCCCACACCTGCCAGAAGGACGAAAAAGCAATAGAGTGTAACTTGTGTCAGGCTAGCATTCTCTGCTATCAGCTCGCTTGTGAACTCCTGGGGAGACTGGCTCCTAAAGAAGAAAGCCGGCTGGTGGTAAGCAGTTGAAGAAGTGTCTAAGTATAATAAGGATGCAGTAGTGGTGCAATGGGGTCTTTCTCCAGGCTTCGCTATGCCCCATGCTGGGTTATATGTCAAACTGTGTTAAAAAGAAGTTTTCCTTCCACCAAGTCAAACTCCTGGAATATGAGATGGTGCTACATTATATAGAACTCTTGGGCGAGAAATCATGCCTTGAGTTAGGGTTTGTAGCACACCCATTCACACAATTTTCACAAATACAGAGCATGACTGGTATTCTTGAAATAACTTTTATCAGAAAGTCATATTACAAAGTTTAGATAACAGTGAATACTACAAAATATACATATCAAATATGGAGTAAGTAGATTGGCTTTGGACACCGAGAATTCCTAGGGAACCGCAGTTTGTAAAACTTACTGACTTCATCAACAGCCAATACAATTTTAATTTCATTTAAAATTGTTTAAATAAGGAACAGCTAATATATAGTATATATTTAGCTACTCCATGCATTAGTTATTTCCTGTTTAGCTTATTTTCCATCGAAGTCACACACATCATCAAAATAGCTTCATACCATCAAAGCTAGGATTATTTGCCATCTTCTCTTTTTCTTCCTTTCCCCTAATGTTTGTCTAGGTATAAAGCAACTTAAAAGTATTTTTTGAGGTACAGTATATACAATCAGTAAAATGTTTCTTCAGTTTTTAAATACCTTTAGGCCCACTGAACTCGTTAGTCCTACCTGTTGCAAAATAACATCCCTGTAGGATGGTCTTTTAACATTGTCATTGGGTACTTACTATAAAACAGTCACAATAGTAGATGATGTGAAAACAAATTAAAATCAAAAGCTTAGAGTCTAATCAGGAAGATGGTTAAATAAATGAAAAACCAGAAGACAGAGTGACGAGCATTCTGAGAGAGGTATGTACAAGGTGGCTATGGGAGCGCAAAGAAGGGACAACAAATCTACCTTACAGGTGTAATAGGGACCCACAAGGTCTCCCTGGAGGAGATGGCTCCTGAGCTTTATTGAAGGAGGAGTGGAATGAATGAAAAGAAAGTGGTAGGAGAGCAGGACTTTTGAGACCCAGAAAACTCTCTGTTTAAATGGCGAAGAGGAAAGTAGGGGATGATACACTCAGGAAACTGCTAGTAGTTCTGTGTTGTTAGAGCAGTGAGGAAGGTGGCAGAGTCGTGAAAGTTGAGTCAAGGAAAGACTCAGTTTTTATCAGATTTATTAAGGGCTTTGTTTGCCAAACTAAGAAGTTTGGATTTTGTCTCAGTGACAGTGGGGACATGCCAAAGAATTTTAATCAGGTGATGATACACTTTGATGAATTTGAGAAATTCATCCTGTCAGTGGAGGAGAGAGACGAGGATTTGGACATTGCGGGCAGGGCTCTATCCGAAGGTTCATGTGGTCACTCACGGAAGAAAGCTGGGAGGCCCGAATGGAAACGGTGGTGGGATGAAGGGAAGGGGTAGGCCTGACAGACTTCTCAGGGGAAGGAGCAACAGCACTTGTTCAGTTGGCATTTAGGAATGGGAAAGTGGAGAACAAAGCTGCGTTTTCTTGCTTTGGAAGTAAAAGCGTTGCCATTTACAGAAAATTGTTACTGTAGTAGGAGAAGTGAGTTTTTGGGTAGGAGTGGGATATGATGCAGTCACATTCAGACATAGTGTTAAGTATATGCACATTGTTTTATATATATATATATATATATATATATGTATATATATATATGGCTAAGTAAATTCACATTGTTAAGTATATATTGTTAAGTTATTCACACATATATGTATACATACATATATATATATTCACATTGTTGTACAATCAATGTCTAGAACTTTTTCATCTTGCAGAACTGAAACTCTATACCCATTAAACAGTTATTCCCTACTCCCCTTTCCCTTAGCCCCTGGAAACTACCATTCTATTTCCTCTCTCTAGGAGTTTGACTACTGTAAATACTGCATATAAAGGGAATCATACAGTATTTGTCCTTTTTGTAATTGGCTTACTGTAACATCTAAAAAGTTCATCCATGTTATAGCATGTGTCAGAATTTCCTTCCTTTTTCAAGGCAAAGTAATATTCCATTGTATGTATATACCACATTTTGTCTTATCTGTTCATCTGTTGATGGATACTTGGGTTGCCATACCTACTTCTCTTTAACACATATATTATAGCTATTTCTTATTCCTAAAATTTTGACTTCTCTAGACAATCGATATTTCTATTTTAAATGTTGATGCGAACCCCTTATTATTCCCTGCTAATTAAGTAGTTACTGAACAAAATGTGCCTGGGTTGGCATCTCTTGGTGAGTAGGGCACACGCACAGGGATTAAAGCAGAGATGGAAAGCAGGCCTAAGAAGATTTAACAACGTTTTTGATATTTTCCATATTATTTCAAGGGAATGAAAACGTTTCACTAACACCTCATGTAAATTTCCAAGGAAATAAGGTCAAGCCTTCTGTGAGGCAGGTGCCTCTGCCCCCCAGGGCTCAGCACAGGCTGGGCCGCAGCAGGCATGCAACCGGTCTCTGTTGCAGAACCTTCGTTACATCCCCACGGCTGCTCATCTGGCTGCTTGTCCTGTTTGTTCCAGGAGCCCACAGACAGCCTTGAGGATAGCCTCCTTTCTTCCAGACCGGAGTTTACCATCGGCCCTGAAGGTGAGGAGGAGGAGAATCCAGCCAGCAAGCGCGGGGAGAACCCGGGCAATCACACCGAGCCCACGGAACATGCTGGTAGGTGCACTCAGGCACACCCAAGTTTGCACAGGCCCAACGTTCAGAACCCTGGTTGCTTAGGTGACCATTGACTTGCACAAGTTCAGACTCGGCTTCCTTAATATAGACTTGTGCAAATGAATCATTTCCCCAGATTATGAAGGGAACAAATCCAGGATGTGTTTCTAGTGGATCGAGGTCACTGAGCATCTTTCTGGCAGCAGGAGCTTGTCATCAACAAAACCCCCGTTTTAGTGTGAAAAACACCACCTCCCTACTTATGGCGTATTGTGTTCTCTGTGCAGAAGTAGCCGTGAAACAAGGTGCGAGGCAGAGTGGAGGGTGCTGACGCTCTCCACAGCCATCAGGGCATTTGGCCAGAGCAGAGCATGCTGGGACAGAGGCGATGGAATTTGGCTCCTGTGCCCCCAGAGTACAACCTGGACTCTGGACAGGCTCACACCTGAGCAATTTGTGCTCTAGGGCTGATTGGCTCGCTCAGAGCTGGGAGGGAGGATGGTCTGTTGCCAATTGCTCAAAGGCTCAGTGGGGCTAACTGGGGACAGCAGGATGGCAGGAAGGCCGGGAATCATACTCTAGCTCCACACATGCTGAAGGAGTTTCAGGAAATTAGGATGTAACCCCAGGTGCCTCTGGGAAAGCCTGGCTTTTAGTCTGCACTGTGGCATTCTGGGGATAAATCTAAGTCGTTTTTAATCTTCCTATTTCTACTATCCTTTCTATCATTCCCTCAGTCAACAGCAAATATTGTTATGTGACTATTGTGTGGGGTTCTGTAGGTCCTGGGGTGTCATATTCAGATCAAGGTAACAATGTTATTACCACAGTGTGCTTGGTTGGAATTGACTGCTTCTGCATGGATTGTATTAATGGTCAGCTGAGTATGGCTATCCTGGCTCACATTATTTAGAACCATTGACACTTAGAATTTGGAGGAACACCCGAGATGACCTACTTCACTGGTTTTCATCGTGTACTTGGACTTGTACAGGCTCTCTGTGTTTCCTTTGGCCCTTCCTTATGTGGGGTGGCTATTGGTAGGAAGATGTGGGTAAATGATAAAGACTCAGGCTGCCCACCCTGCTTCAACCTGACTGCACTGACTGGCTCCATTTCATATAGTGGAGTTCGAGGTAAGATGTTCTTTGAACAAAGTATTCTGTAGAAAAGAAATTTGAAACTTGCTGATTCTTGTTCAGCCTTCTCACGTTACAGATGAGGAAAATACATTGCAGATGAGTTAAACAACTTGCTATTTTCATGTAGCTTGTATTACTCATTTCTACTTTATGCTTATCGTGCTGCCCAGATGGTAATGGAGAACTTGAATCATCCGAGGAGTTGAAATACAAACAAAATTAATGACCTCCGACTTCCCTCCCCCAATTGTGGGTAATTCCGGGTGGGGGTCTGGGAATTGCATACCCAAGTATTGTAACACTAGTTAGTGGCAGGGTGGAGGCTAGAACCTGGGTCTCCTGGTTTACTTAGAATTAATTATACTTGCTGAGACCCGGGCCCAGCCTGCGTTAATGTCTAAAAAAAACAAAGATTTTACTTATGATCCAATAACCTGTAATCTTTATATGCAAACATATTTTTCAAACCTAAGATAGCACACAAAATCAATTAGCTGCCACTTTTATTTATTTGTATGTAACATTTTATTTGAACAATGCTTAAAATTAAGCCATTTATTTTTATAAATGACTCTTCTCCTTGCTCAGTTGTTATAACCTCCTCTTGTTAAACATTTGGTGTATTTGTCTTCTCCAAGCACGTATCCAGGCTCCCATCACAGCTTCCGGTCCACTGTCCTTCTTTTGCTCTCTGCTGTCTTGCAGGGCGCAGTGATAGTGGTCTCCTCTGGGAGGTCTCCGTTAATTTCCTCCCAAGACCAGCCTCCCCCGCTGCTCAGTGCCCCAGTCCTGCTCCTGCTCCGTGGCCTCCGGGCCGTGGTCTTGAGCTCCTCTGTCGTAGAACAGCTGATGCTCTGCCCCGTGTGCAGTGATTTCTCCCCGCTTTTAGAGGGTGTCCTGTTTCTGCATTTTGTGGCCTGGTGCCTATTTCTTCTGGCAGTCAGATATCTCTTCTATTAAAAATATTTTTAAAACTTTCACACTAGACAAAATAGAGTCGGGTGTGGATAGCAAGTATTTAGAATACATCAGGATGGAAGATCTCCAATAAACTATCTAGTATAGATGCCAAGAGGGTTTGACTTCTGTTGTTTCTGATCCTAGGAATTGCCAAAACTTATAACAGTGATTTGAAACCATTTTACACTAGTTCCTACATCTGGTTAACTTGTGAATTCTTTTTTTAATATATAATTTTTATTGTTGACAGTATTACAGATGTCTCCCGTTCCCCCGCCCCCACCCTCCAACCCCCTCCTCCCTGCCCCCTGTGAATTCTTTTTCCCAGCATGCCTCATGTAAATGTCCTGCCCTCTTTACCATCGAGGCAGAGATTTTAGAGATGCTGATAAGGAAATAAAGCCAGGAGTAGTTGTTTTGATTTGAATATATTCACCTTCTTTCAAAAGTTCCCTTTGTCCATGGGATTAAATTCTTCCTTAGGTGCTAATATAACTTGAATACCTCTCTTTATTTTTTTATTTTTTAAATATGTTTTATTGATTTTCTACAGAGAGGAAGGGAGAGGGATAGAGAGTTAGAAACATCGATGAGAGAGAAACATTGATCAGCCGCCTCCTGCAAGCCCCCCACTGGGGATGTGCCCGCAACCAAGGTACATGCCCTTGACCGGAATCGAACCCGGGACCCTTGAGTCCGCAGGCCAACGCTCTATCCACTGAGCCAAACCGGTTCTGGCTGAATACCTCTCTTTAATACCTGCTTGTCTTCCTTTCAATTAGGAAAGCATACCTAGCCAGGCCTCAGGCCCCTCCAGGTAGCAGCAGAACTAGTGGCCCACAGCGGCACAGGGCTGGGCTAAGGTCGCTTCAGGGAGCCAGAGACATGTGAGTACAGGAGGACTAGGTGGGAAAAGGAAGCTGAGAATCCTGATCTAGAAGGTTTCCTTCATTTGCATCATAGAAGGGACATATGCTAACTTAGAGAGCAAATGAAAACATTATACACTTTAAAAATGTACATCTTCTATATCTGTTTTTACTCCTCTTGGCTTTATGATCTTGACCAGTTCATGAACGGTGGGGGAAAGGAGGAGTTATGCTAACCTCTGTGTAATTATTTCCTCACAGCAGTAAAGAACGATACTGAAAGAAAGTTTAGCTACCAACAACTTCCAGTAACTTTGAGACTAATATACACCATTTTCCAGGTATATTTTTTGGAATATTTGAATTTTTGGTTTGGTAGCGTTGCTGTTTTAGATAATTCCGTAACCATGTGGTTTTTTGCATAGGAAATGGCTAAGTTTGAAGAGCCAGACATTCTTTTTAATATGCTCAATTGTCTGAAGATTCTCTGTCTACACGGAGAGTGTTTATACATTGCTAGAAAAGATCATCCTCAATTTTTAGCCTACATTCAGGATCATATGTTGATTGCAAGGTAGGTCTTCCTTTTTTTGTTTATATGTTAGGCTTTTTTTGCTTATATGTAAGTCTTTAGAATAACACGTATCAATTTATTTGGATTATTTTTCTTAGCCAGGACAGCCTGATCATCTATGGGAACTACTTTTATTACTTTTATTTAGTTTGATTATTAAGTATGTCAATATGAATAATAGTAATTTTCTTTGCTAAATACTATAGAAATAGAAAAGGCAAAATAAAGATTATGTGATGCCTTTCAGTTGTTAGATGGCTTAAGAATATAGTGTACCCTAGATGAACAAAATAAACTGATGAACAAAATAGATCCAGAGCCATAGAAGCATGAAACAGACTGATGAATTTCAGAGGGAAGACGGGGGTGGCGGGTGGGTGGGGAGAGGTTAACCAAAGAACTTCTATGCATATATGCATAACCCATGGACACAGATAGTAGCGTGGTGAAGGCCTGGGGGTGGGCAGGTACCTGGTGGAGGGAGTCATTGGGGAAGTAAAAGGGGACATCTGTAATACTTCCAATAATGAAGATAAATTAAAGAAACAGAATATAGTGTAACCTAGAAAAATGTCAACAGGTACTAAGTTAATATTTACCAAGTATAATTGAGTAAGGACTTAATTTCTTACTTGAAATAGAACTGCTAATAGACATCTAAAATCTCTCCACATATTATCTGATAATGTATTTTTTTAAAGACTGCCCAGGCGTTCTGAGAAAAACAAGAAAATATTGCCCTGGATTTACATAGTGGTTTTCTTCTTAAGAACTTTAAAATAACTTGTTACAATCTTCCTGGAAATAAGTTAGAAAAATAGTATCCTCATTTTTATATATAAGGGAATGAAGTGATTAAAAAAGGAAAAGGTTGGTTTAGATTAACTTGGTAACTAAACCAAGTTGAGGCTCTATTGTCATTATTCATTTTGTTCATTCATTCATGTATTCATTCAAAAATATTATTGAGGGCTTACAATATTCATTTTGGTAATTTGCAATCTAGTTTGGAAGAAGGTGAATAGTATGTGTACAGAACGTGACCACATAGTTTATTATTCAAATTGGTCTACTCTTGAGCGTGAAGAGGGGATGATTTTCATAATAACTTCAAAATAATAAATATATAGTAGACTGAGATCTTGGATAATGAAGCCACATGGTCACCTATGTATATATGTTACTGTCAATCCCAGGGATGTGTGATGGGTGACTGTGTTGTGTAGTTATAGGTGGGAGAGGTCATTTTTGGATGATCAGAGAAGCCTCAGGAGTAGATACCATTTGGATAGGCATTGAGATAATGATAGAATTTTGAAAGGATCAGCATAACAGATGAGACAAGCAGCAAATCCAGGCAGAAGCAGTGAAGGGACAGGGTCAGGAGTTGGGTAGAAGCTCTGCCCATTCCAGGAGAGTGGGGAGACGATGTGGGCTGACTTCTGTTGTGAAAGCCACCTCTATTGGAGGTGTAGTTGGGACGAATGGATCATTGATGCCGTGGCATCTCTGCCTTAGCCTTTGGGCTACCTAGCCCAGGTTTCACCCTCAAAAACCCTGAGGGACAATGAAAGGATCTGGAGAAAGGACATGCTTCTGTTTTTCAAACAAAGCTGCTGTAGGGACCCGAGAAAGCAGTATGGGGTTGGAAGAGTCCAGGGATTTTTGTCACTGAGACGGTTTTCTATTCGTGCCATATACAATTTGCTTCCTTCTACTGAAATGAAAGTTCCATGAGGGCAGAGATCATGCCTTCCTTTTCCTTTGCATTCTCCGTAGGGCTTGTTGTTGTAGAGAAGTATCTTCGTCCTTAGCCTCACTATGGTAATAGTAGTGTAAGGTTTGTGAATACCTACTGTGTGTCTAACATTTAATACAACCAGCATTAGGAGGAAGTGGAAGTTCAGACAAGTTACATTTACACTTGGTTACACAGTTAATTAATGACAGGGTTCAGACTAGATCCATATTTTTCTGATTTCCACAATTCAGTTATAGCATATGGCATTTGAAAATTACTCCTTTTCATCCTATAAGTCTAGTATGTCTTCCGAGATACCAGCAACTTTAGTGACTTGTATTCTCCATAAATTGGAGATACTGTGCCACTCCTCCCATCTTTTAGGGGTACATTATGAATTTTTTAAAGTCACAAATAGTTTCAATTCTGGATTAATTCTGGAGCCAAAAGACAACAAAATAAAACAACAAAAACAAACAAAAGGCATACTTTAAATAAATGAATAAAAGACTTGAAACTGCTTAGATATTACTGGAGGCCCAGTGCACAAAATTCTTGCACTGGTAGGGTCCCTAGCTGCTGTTGGCCGGGGCCTCCCTCCCTTTCCCCGGCCCACCCCACCCCCTGGTCAAACTCCCAGACAAACTCCCGGTTGAGGGGACAATTTGCATACTATGCTTTTATTATATAGGATTAGTAAAAATAGACCTTCAGAATTATTCTGGTAGAAATTGATAGGAACTTAGCTAAACTTGTTAAGGTACATTTTTGACCAGAAGTCATCTGGTTTTAGGCAGGGCTGGCACTCACAAGGTGTTACTAGGGATTTCTCTCTCCCTCTCTCTCCTTTTTTCTCTTTCTGTCTCCTCTCCCTTTCTCCCTCCCTCACCATCACTTAGCCTCATTCCATCTGTATTGGCTGCTTCTCAGCAGGCTGTTCCTGTGAGAAGGAGAGAGATCTTTCTGTCCCAGAGCCCATATCAATACCTGGACAAGGATTCCGGCATTCCCATACTTACGTCATATGTCCACCCCTTGACTAATCACTCGATTTTCAGCATTGAAGCACTTTGATCAGCATGAGTTTTGTGTTCACTCTTACAATAGGAGAAGGGGTGGGTGGGTGGGGCTTGATTGACAGCTCTGCCAGTTGAAGAGGCTGTTCTTAATTGAAAGAGTTGCTCCTTGTTAGAATAATATGAGGAAAAGGCTGCTGGGTAGGCAAAACCAACAAAACTTCCCAGATGTTCAGTATAAGAAAAAGAAATGAAAATCACTATCACTTCACCATCTTAACATAACTAATATCAATTTGTATATTATTTAACAGTCATTATTCATTTATGACTTGAATTTAAAATATACAATTAAAATTTTTATGTTAAAATGTAATGTTAAGTGGTGTTTTTCTATGTTGTTACATAAAAGTAATTACTTTAAAAAGACATGAACAGAGCAGAGCATAGGAAAAGTTCATCAGAGGATCATAGTCTTGTGGATGAATGCAATTTCACTGAAAGCATTCTGACCATCTACAGGTTAACTATACTTCTTATCAATCAAGATAATAGTATTTTCTTTCTAAAAAGGTTATCATACCTGTAACCACTTTGCTTCTTGGTTTCCAGCCTGTGGAGAGTCATCAAATCCGACTTCTCCCAGTTATCTTCACTGGCGGTTCCTCTCCTGCTCCATGCGTTGTCGCTTCCTCATGGTGCTGACATCTTCTGGACAATCATAAACGGCAACTTCAACAGCAAAGACTGGAAGATGAGGTTTGAAGCAGGTACCTCTGTGTTATAACAATTCTCTCTGGATCACATTACAAACCAGATGTCCAGTTATGAGATCTCTTTCTGCCTTCCATTTTCCTTCCCTCTTTCTATAGGGCATTGTCCTGCTTGCCGGTATTCTTTGTTGTGTCTACTTAGCTGAGCTTTGTCAATAGTAATATTTTGCAGAGTGATCTTTAGGGAGGGTGGCCCTGTCTAGTTTGCCTAGGGTAGTCCCAGTTTATGCCTGTCCTCCAGGTATGTTTATTAATTATACACTGTTTACTTTCACATGGGTCCTGGCTTAAATGGTCAACCTAATGGGTTACTTGCATCAGCATTACTGGGAGTGTTTGTTAAAAACACTGATTACAGTGGAACCTCGGTCCTTCAACTTAATTAGTTCCAGAAGGTTGTTCGAGAAGCAATTTGTTTGAAAACCGAATCATATTTTCCCCATTAGAAATAATGTAAATTGAATTAATCTGTTCCAGACCCCCAAAGGACTCCCTGTTTTAACCTTTCTTATATACAGTACATGTCGAATATACTGTTTAATCTACAAATAAACACTTCTTTTCTTATATTTTTTGAATCACCCCCTGCTAGCCTTCAATGAATCACTTTGAGTACTCTGTTCAGGGGTGCCTCTCAGGTGGTCAATATGCAGCTCCTTCACTTTTTCACATATCATTGTCTCCAAAATGCTATCACTGGCTAACTGTTTTTTGTTCATCCGAATCAACAACAATTTTTCTGCCTCTTCAATGGCCTGTGCTCATTGTTTTCTGAGCACTTGCACATCCTTAGCAACATCAGCTCTCTTGATGGCCTCTTTATGTTTTTAAATTGTGCTAATCCATTTCGCCAGTAACAAAAGCAAAAAAAAAAAATATTCACAGCTCTGATTATGTTGTTTTTCTATTCAAAACATTTTAATGGGTTTTCAATGTCTAGAGAATAAAGTTCAGACTCCTTAAATGGACATTCAAAACCTCCCATGGTCTGACTGCTCGTGTTTGTAGCCTCATTTCTCACTCATCTTTCTTCACCTGCCATTGTACTTTCCTCATTGCTTCCTACTGCCCCTCACCCATATCTTGGCCAGTCTCTGTTCTCAGTCTGAAATCCTCTTCCCTTCTAGAACCCACTCAAATGCCATCTCCGTTTGAACCATCTTCAAAGGCCCCCATTGAGTTCCATTTCTCGGTTCCCTTGGTGGAAAGTTGTTTTTAATCTTCCAAGCTCCCATAGCATTTTATTTATACATCACTAACAGCACTTACAGCTTTTTATATTACATTTTGGTTATAGTTGTACCTGTTTATCTCTTTTAGCAGACTTGACTTTGAAGTCAAGACCTGTGAATGATTCCCATGTTAGTCTGCTTGGGCTGCCATGACAGAATACCATAGACTGGGTGGCTTAAACAACAGAGTTTATTTCTCACAGTTCTGGAGGCTGGGAGTCCAAAATCAAGGTGCCAGCCAATGCAGTTCCTTGGTGAGGGCTCTCTTCCGGGCTTGTAGATGGTCACTTTCTTCCTGTGTCTAGTTTTCCTTTTGATTTTTATAAGGACACAAATCCCATCATGGGGGCCCCACCCTCATGACCTCATCTAAACCTAATGACCTCCCAAGGTCCCAACTCCAAATGCCATCACATTGGGGGTTAGGGCTTCATGTGTAAATTTTGGGGGCGGGGGCACAATAATTCAGTCCCTAACAGTTCATTTTTCCATTTACTTCCATCTCCCCAACAAGTACCTAGGATGGTGTCTTTAAAATAAGTGAATTAGTGGATTTATTGAATAATTACTAAATGTGGGATTAATAAAAAGAGTATAAGGGCAAACTCCTGCTCTCAGAAGCTCTCAATTTAATTGATGGGACCAAATACAAACATGTAAAAGGTTAAGAAACTATAAAGGTGTAAATATAATTCAAGATCACAAAAGAAGATATGTCATACAGCTAAATATGAACACACAAACGCCATATCTAAATGAATAGTATTTTAAAAATATATATTCTTATTCATTTCAGAGAGGAAGGGAGAGGGGAGAGAGAGAGATAGAAACGTCAATGATGAGAGAGAATCATTTATTAGCTGCCTCCTGCACGCCCCCTACTGGGGATCAAGCCCACAACCCAGGCATGTGCCCTTGACTGGAACAGAGCCCAGGACCCTTCAGTCCGCAGGCAGATGCTCTATCCGCTGAGCCAAACCAGCCAGGGCAATGAATAGTATTTTTGCAGGAGTTTATGGTATGGAAAGACCACTCTAGGAAGTCAGAGTGGACTTCACAGAACATGTAGAATTTAAACAGCAGGTTCTTTTAAGGATGGTAGAATGTCCATTAGCAGAGAAGAATAGAAAGAATATTCTAGGCTGCTAGAATAGCTTAAGCAAAATACTGAACCATCTCTATTTGCATGGAACTATGTTGCTTCTATGGCTTTTTATCAAGCTCGTTTTAAGAGTGGCTGGAATCATTTAACATAGACTTGCAGAATAATTAGAAATCTATCAAGTAGGGCGCATCTATTTTATGGAAGACGTACGCTGTACAGCCCCGGGAAGACTGGTTGCCACTTCACATCATGACACGCTAAGAGGAGTGGAGGGTCCAGAATCTAGAGCCAGGACTGGCGGGTACCTCCCACCTCCCTGTGGAACCTCTGTGGAATGGACAAAGAAATGAGCATGGAGGCATTTTGAATAGTTTGAAACACAGCTGGAAGTTAAACAATGGGAAAGACCATATAAAAAAAAAAAAAGAGAGACAACCCAGACTAAATCAAGGCTGCCTGACAAAAATACTGCACTGGGTAGAGGTGGTCTGTGCTGCACGGATCACTCAAAAGGAGGCACTAGACGTCCCTCTTGGTATTTAAAATCAGTGTCTGGGGGTCCAGTTACCCCATCTCTGTGGGTTCAGACTGTCTAAATAGATGTCATTTTTTTGTCCTCTGCCTTTTACATTTCAGTGGAAAAGGTGGCTGTAATTTGTCGATTTCTGGATATTCACTCAGTGACCAAAAACCACCTGCTGAAGTACTCGCTGGCACACGCTTTCTGCTGCTTTCTGGCGGCTGTGGAGGACGTCAACCCTGCAGTGGCTACCAGGGCTGGGCTCCTGCTGGACACCATAAAGAGGCCGGCGTTGCAGGTGACGTCCCTCAGTGTGTGTAACCTGCTCTGCTCTGCTAAACCCTGAGTTATGTGTCACGTAAACACGGTTACTGATGATGATGATGATGATGATGATGATGATGATGGTGGAAATTTTTAAGTTGGGAAAAACATCTCAGGATCACATTGTATTAACAGACCTCTTATTTTTATATGTTGATACTTTCTTTTCAGTCTTTGTCTATGTGCTGAATCACTTCTGACAAATGGAATTATTGTATAACTTTTTTTGGTGGCAGATTATTAAATTAAGTTTGTTTATACCATTTCACTGGTTTCTGGGCTAAAAGTCCTTTTAATTGAGGCTAGTTTCTGAGAGAAATCAGGTAAATTATAAATCAAGGCAAACCATGAGAAGGTAAATATGCTGCCAAAATGAAATGCTACAAATTAAAGCCAAAGTAACATGAATTATAAGACCTGGAGAGAGTTGTATATTTATCTTATTTGGCTCCTGTATTTTTAAAAATTTATTTATTTTTAAAATATGTTTTTATTGATTTCAGAAGAAGGGAGAGGGAGAAAGAGATGGAAACATCAATGATGAGAGAGAATCATTGATTGACTGCCTCCAGCACACCCACTACTGGGGACCGAGCCCACAACCCAGGCATGTGCCCTGATTAGGAATCCAACTGTGACCTCTTGGTTCATAGGGTGATGCTCAACCACTGAACCACACTGGCCAGCTGGCACATGTATTTTATAGTTGAAGAAACCAGGTCTCAGAGAGATAATGTCACTTATCAAAGGACACAGAGTGAATTTTGGGAGAACCAAAACTAGAACCTCCAAAGTCCTGATCTTCTGTTTTTCCCCATTGCCACCTGATTTATCATTATTTCATTATTATTAAAGTTAATAATGGCAAGAGCTAACATTTATCAAATAGGCATTGTGTTTTCAGGGCAGTGTATTAAAAGTGTCCGATCCTGCATTATTTCAGTTAATCCCCACAATAACCTTTAGTGTGTTCCCATTTTACAGATAGAGAAGCTGAGGGTTAGAAAGGTTAAGTAATTTCAGAGTCACACGGCTAGTAAGTGGTAGAGAAGACTCAGGTCTGACTCATAATAAAGTCATATTCTTAACTCTGTGTGTGTGTGTGTATGTGTGTGTGTGTGTGTACACTGCCTCCCAATCAGTGGAAGGGTTCTTGTAAAAAAGACTAAGAAGAAAGGGCAATGGTACAGGATCTGAAATATTCTAGGGTTGTGCTGCCTATGGATGCTCACCCTTCCTTGTAAAAACTTCCAGTTGTTTTCTGGATAGTCCTTCTCTGTTGGTCTTAATAAGACTAGGTGGTTGTATGTCTTACCGCTGCTCAGGGCCTGGAACATAGGAGGCACTCATTAGATGAGAGGTGGATGAATTAATAGGATGAATTGCAGTTTTTTAAAAAAGGGAATCGTAGACTTATATACTAGAGAAATAGATGCTCAACCCATTATACCTTTGCTTTTTTAAAACTCTATGTTTTACTCACATTCCAAGAAGATGACTTAGGTTCTTTTAAAATCATTAAAAGAATTCTAAAATCTGAATTTCTTTTAGAAATTTTAATTCTAAATTTTAGAATTTAACATTGAAAGGAAATTTAAAGACCACCTTTTTGTGTATTCTAAAATGTGTCTTTGGAACTATGCTTCTCTGATAGAAACTACAGACATTAAGAAAAGAAACATTGGTTTGAGGATATTTGAGTAAAAAAAATTAGTAACATACATTTAGTTCAGATTTCTAAGTCAAAATTTAAGGGCTACTCTACAATTAGGAGAAGCTTCTCTTTTGTATTTTTCCTACCAAAATTTGCAGCAAGAAAGCTTTCAGTGTGCTCATTCTACATTATAAATATAGATTGAGGAGTTTGCTTTGTTCCACTGACTTTGCTTAGTGTATTTGCTTTGAAGCAACTTAGATGTTTACATCTGACTTTGCTTTCCCCCTCCTTTTCCCCAGGGTCTGTGTCTTTGTCTTGACTTCCAGTTTGATACTGTGGTTAAAGATCGACCCACAATATTGAGCAAGCTTTTGCTCTTGCATTTTCTCAAGCAAGATATTCCTGCGCTGAGCTGGGAGTTCTTTGTCAACAGATTTGAGACACTTTCTTTGGAAGCTCAGCTGCATTTGGATTGTAACAAAGAATTTCCTTTTCCTACAAGTAAGCAAAAGGAAGAACTTGCTGTATAGAGTCGAGGTTCCTATGCTTGTGCTTGCTAGATAAGCGGAAGATACTATGTGTGTAGTTCGATTTCCCATTATGGAGGATGCCTTGACTTCGTGTACTTCATCTCTCAAATGTTTGTTGAATACCTACTGTAATCACCCTCAGATGAACTATTTTCTGGCATTCCGAAATCCCAATTTTTCTAGTTCCTTTTGGGGACTTGTGAGAAACAATTGTGACTGTGTGTTCCTTAAATGCTACTCAATCATCATGATTGTAATGCTTGTGAGCAAGTTTGTAAGAGATATTTGCACCTTCCAAATTCACTCTCTCATGCTTCTTAATCAGGTACCTACAGCTCTGACTAGATGGGGAACAGACTTTGGTCAGTCAGCTAGTTATCCAGTGATAACAAAATCAGATAATTTAATCTTATTTAGCCAATAGTCATGAAAGGCAATAGTCATGATTTTTCATATAAGCTTTCCTGAAGAGAGAAAGGTGAATGAGTCATCTATCCATGAAAGATGGTTTGTAATACTGAAAAATATACACAGATGAATGGTTTTAAGCTAGTTGCATAACATAGGAGTTAAGGAAAATGATAACCTCTAATTCCTTTTGCAAAGCTATCACTGCTGTAAGGACCAATGTCACCAACCTCAGCGACACCGCGCTGTGGAAGATCAAGAGGGCTCGCTTTGCAAGGAACCGCCAGAAGAGTGTGCGTTCCCTGAGGGACAGCGTGAAAGGGCCCGCGGAGTCCAAGAGGGCGCTCTCCCTCCCCGAGACCCTAACCTCCAAAATCCGTTGAGTATCTTCTTTCATCCTCCCTTAAATCTGTTTAACGTCTTTCTGAGGCTGACTTGTCTTGTTGAATGTGCACAGAGAGTAGCGAATTTAGCAAACAGCTTGGTCATCAGGTTTGGCCTTCGGATTCCCTAGAGGGTCACCCCAGGGGCGTTAGCGCCCTGGGTGGCTTTTTCCAGTTTTTGGGTGAAGCAAAGCCTTGATCTAACAGTAGACGATTCAGTAGGTTGTTTTGAAATGTGGAGGCAGCAAACCCATTGATGCTTGGCATGAAAGAAGCATCTGCTCCTAAGTGCTCAAATGTGAAGTTTGCACCAGCCTGGATAAGAGATTCCTGAGAAGACTTTGACGTTGTCATTTAATGCATGGTAGAGGCAGCCAAACCAGCTTCCAGACAAGCAAATAGTAATGGTTGCTTTTGCAAAGACAAATTAGGCCGAGAAGTTGAGTTTTTGCCCAACTTAAACAAGCTTCATTGCCAACTTAAAAAAAAAAGACCATATATACTTGTTTTCTAAAGGTCTTTCTTTTTATTGCATTGTTAAAGAGAACAAAATTTCTCTTAAATTACCAAATCACTAGATGAACTCTAATGATTAGCAATAGCTCATGAATGGGAAATAATTAAAAATTCATAAGTAAATCATCATATTAGTGAATGGATATGTTTAAATACATTGCTAACTTGTAAAACTTATGAAATGACTTAATTTTTAATTTTTAACTGCTGTGAAGTTAATAAAAGAACCCCATAAAATATATTTCTTATCCTGTTAGAAGCTGAAAAGTTTGCTTTTTCATTGGCACTTATTAGAAGACAGCCTTATTGTAACATGACCATTTTAAATCATAAATATGATTTGATTTTATTTATTGCATTTTCCTCTATTTTTCGACAAGCTAAGGATATGTAGTGTTTTGAACTTTGGAAGAATCAATAAAAGCCCTGTAAGCAATCAATAATCTAGGTGTTCAGAGAGCAAAGATAATAACAGGTGCCCATTTCAGAATATCCTGTGCTAATGTGAGGCCCCAGATGAAACTGAATCAGATCCTAAAATCCAATACCTCAATCAAATAAATTACAATTTCTATAAGAACGTCCCAGGTCTTTTAGAATCTAACTGATCAGGTTGGGATATACAGTTTACTTATTGTTATTTCTTGTTAATTGATTCACGTGACAATTCTGAAGGTTAAGAATTAAAGTAACATTGCAGGATGTTCTTGAGATTCAAATGAAACCACAAAACTTTTGTGATATAAACATCTACTATGTGATGTTAATTACAAATAGGAAAACTAAACTTGCCCCTACTATCCAATGCAGTTAGCACTAAGTATATTTTCTAGGCTCAACTTGTTTTTAATGCTTATTTAAATAGAGTTGTTGTTGATTTTTAAGCTGTGAGGTTGACCAGGCAAGAGCAGTCTGCTCCAGCTCTCGGTGGGACACCCGAACAGATGCCAGGTGGGTACTTCTGACTTGAAGGGCTGTGTGCAACTGTCTCTCACAGGTGGACAAAGGAAAGAGTGCAGTGTCTCTAACTGGACCACGGTGATATAGTTAGGTTTGGCAAGCTCCAAGGTCTTCCCCAGGTGCTCCAGCATCTGGGCCCCTGACATAGCAATTCCTTTAATATTAGCAGATGGCTTTTGATGCTGGTAACTTTTGGTCCAGTAAGAAGCATCTTGTTACCTGAGTACGCACTGTTCCCCAGAGAGCCAATATGACTAGAACCATACCTAGTACTTATATTTGTATGTGTATTTACACATAGAAATATTATGTTCATATATATCTGCTATAGGAAAAAACATACATTTCATTTGCATTTTAAAAGGTTATACATTTGAACCACCATCATTCACCCATCGCCTTAGTCATTCCTGATTCTTTGCAGCTCTACATGCCTTTCTGTCTCAGAGAAAGAGTTTCCATTGTTTGGCGCATCATGGGATCACATCCAGCTTGGCACAGTGTAACTGTCATTTGATGTTCCTGAATTATCCTAAGGGCCGAAGGCAAGACTATTACAGACTGAATGTTATTCACACAAATAGTCCCATAACTTGTTGGGAAAACTGTGAAGGTTCTGAGTACCTGCTTATTTGTCAGAAACAAGCTTGGTCACTACCATCTATGGTTCATGCTAACAAAGATTTTGTTTTTCTATTATTATTTTCTAAGAATAGTTTTAAGGTAAAGTTTTCAGAATGGCCTCAGAAGGAAAATTTCAAGTAGGGAGACCTTGAAGACTGTGTGTTTGTTATGTGTTACAAAAATGACTCTAGAAAGAGAGACGGTGAGGGATGGGGGAGGAGCACAAGATTATGATTGCAGATGGTAGATGTTGGCCAGAGTGTATTTTCTCTTTTAAAATTGATGAGAAAAAAGGGATAGCAAATACTTGGCAGAGTCTCTTACCTTATTTTGTGCATCGCTTGTGCCTCACCTGTGCTGAGATGGAAGAAAGATAAAATAAGAACATCTGATTCTGACTTCACTGCAAATGTGAAATCCATCCAGGTCCCCTTCAGTTAGATCTTTTTGAGAATGGTCTTATGCAATTTCACAAACTATCTTTATTTGACCCCATCTTTTCTTTTTGTCATAAGGCTGAATTGAAAAGCTAGTCTGTAATTATTATCACCCATTATAATAATCCAACCTCTCACATCTCTTTGGGAAAATGTGTGTATATGTTTCTTAAAGTGAAGAAAAGCTTCAAGTGTCTAATTGTCCCATCAAAAGTGACAAGATGGAAAAGGGGCAAATAAAAGCATTGTTCATATTAAACATAAATATCATTTACATGACCCTACCATAAGCAAAACTTCTATAGATTTGGAAACTTATAAATTGCTTATAAGATGATTTGAAACTAGATTTTCAGTTTTGTATTATTATTCACTGGACACTGAATGTTTTAACCTGGAAGCAAAGACATACCAGGACAGTCAGAAGACTACAGGATGGTTTAAGATAATAATTAAATGGAAACTGAAGAACTTGCTATTGAATATACTTTTGTTTGGTGCAGATCATGAGCTCCTCTGTGCAAGACCTTGTATTGATTAGGCCTGAAGTAAAGGCTGAACTTTTTGTCACTGGATTTATAATTTATGGCTCTCTGATATGAACATGCACAGCAAATTTGCAATGGAAATACACTTGTATAGAAGGTATACTCTGCAAGGCTAGCGAAGAACTGCATTCCTCCATGACATTTATGAGTCAAATAGCTGAAATATTAGAAGTAGGCTAATATTCTCATTTTACAGAAGAGGAAACTGAGGTTCCCAGAGAAGAGTAAGTGCCACAGGTTTGTTGGTAACAAACAGCTCTGGGTCGCAAGCCCAGATGTCTTGGTCTCCCTTGCAAGGCATGTGTGGTAAATGCTAGTAGGAGCTCTACACCTTTATTTAATCCCAATTGATGAAATATACACTTTTACCTGCTAATCTGAAATTGGTTTAATCCTAATTAGATATAACTTGTATTTTCACTAATGCTGTGAGAACCAGGAATTCTTTGTCTTTGATGATTCAGAACATCTGATGAATGTTAATGTTGAATACAAATTTCACCAATGCTGAACATGATGCGTAATGCTGAACAAACAATCACCACTCCATGGAATCACATGGGGTTTAATTATATCTTGTTCCTTACCTCCTGGAATGAATAATTAAACAGTAGTAGGCAAATAATAATATTTCATATATGTATAGTGCTTCTATCTATGAAGAGTGTTTTTATGCAAATCATCTAATTTTGATTTTACAACTATGGATATATGTAAAGTATTATTTTTTTCACTTTATATATGGACAGGAACAGAGGTCCTGAAGAATTAAGGAATTCTGCTTAGGTGGTTTGCTGAAGATCACGTGTAACTAGTTAGGGATAGAACTGAGACTTGAGTCCAAGAGACTTGATTTGCTTTCTTTCCACTATAGCCTCCTCCTGAGGAATTGGTTTTAGGATATTCCTACTCTTTGGGATGACATGAGCATACCAGTCTAGTTACGGAGCTGACCTGGGCATTCAGGTCTGCTACAGTGAGCATCCAGTAAGCCATGAGCATCCAGACCAGAGGATCTTTCCGGTTAGAACTTACAGATTGGTCTAGAGCAGCCGTGGGCAAACTACAGCCCGCGGGCCGGATCCGGCCCGTTTGAAATGAATAAAACTAAAAAAAAAAAAAAGACCGTACCCTTTTATGTAATGATGTTTACTTTGAATTTATATTAGTTCACACAAACACTCCATCCATGCTTTTGTTCCGGCCCTCCGGTCCAGTTTAAGAACCCATTGTGGCCCTTGAGTCAAAAAGTTTGCCCACCCCTGGTCTAGAGCTATCCTAATCCCTACAGGGACATGGATGCTCTACTCCAGCCCGTAGAGAAATCCTGAGATCTCTTGGTCTGAATTTGTATCAGTAAGAGAAGGTGCCCCAGGCTCGGTACCCAATGCTTGGTAACATTGGTGAAATTCGTATTGACCTTTCCTGCTTCCCTCTTAGGTTCCAGCCTGGACTTCTAAATTGCTTCTCTTTTGGGCTCTCCCTCTTTTTTCCTAGAAAGATGGTTTACAATTCACATCTTCACCAACTTCAAAATACCTATTGATTATTTCGATCCAATAAATCAAAGAGTACAGTTGTTTTTCGTAGGAATGCCCTTGTTTGAAATGATGGTTTTGGGAAATGACAGTTTCCCAAATGACAGGATGTGGGGTAGGAAGAGGCAAAGGCAGGGATGGGGAGCATATGAGGATGCAGAGTTAGTCACCAGCCTCAACTTTACAGCCTCTGTGGCCATGTGCACACACAACAGAACTGTGAATGAAGCTTTGAGTTAATGAGCTAGGGAGACCAGTGAGGCAGTGTGGCCAGACCTACTGAAATAATACAACCTCATTTATAGGGTGTAATTCTTGGTTTCTCTCGACCGAATGCAGAGTAAGCTCGTGGAAGGGGTCCTTTCTTCCTCTACTTGTCACATTGGTTTGACAGTGGTGGCTGTGAGTTGACTTATACAGAGGAATGTTCCCTAGCTGTTTCCAAACATTCCTTGCTGTTTGGAAACTTCATCAGTTTTTCTCCTATAGAGAAGACAAGATCTGAAATATTTATTTGAGTTCAGTATACGTAGACATTTATGAATAATAAGCTACTTCTATAAGTCAGACACGGCCCCATATTCTCTGGAGGTTATAAAAAATGGATGAAGCATAGCACTTGCCTTCAAGAAGCCTTTGCTCTTATAGGGGAAATAAGTAAGTGAATGAATAAAACGTTCTGCCTTGCATAATAGCTATTTGTTACAGGGGAGTTAAGAAATGCTATAGGAAACTTCTGTTCATTCTTCCCTTCCTCCCTGCCCTCTTCCCTCCTTTCTTTTCCTTGGACATTTTTAGTTTAGGGATCACATCCAGTTGCTGAGAGGAAGGTGGGCACAGGTAATAAGAATGGCTTCTGGGGACCAGATCCAGAGGGTTAAATTGGGGATGGGGTGGAGACCACTCTACAAGGTGAAGAGAGAACGTGAGCAAAGGCAAAGATGGGAAATGTTGGTGACATTCTGAGATCTGTGAGTAGCCCAGGTTGTAAGGATGCTGAACATTTGGGGTGGACGGAGTGATAGGAGCTAAGTCTGGAAAAGCAGATCCTGATCCTGCCTGGCTCCAAACTGTTTGAATAAATAAAATTGTACTATACTTTGGAGTTTCGATCGGTTGTACCACTCTGTGGACAGATTGCGATGGGCCCAGTCCATGTTCAAGTTATGGTAGGATAGCTCTCTCTACCTTGTGATTAAAAAGGTGCCTACCTTTTTCTTTACAGAAGTGATCAAATCTCTTAACACATTAAATCTCTATAGTTAAAACAGATACAGGAGTTTTATGGAATAGAATTCAAAAGTGTTTTAATGGTCACACCTTAGAGAAAATATTGTACGCATTTAATTTAAAAATGGAAATTTTGTAACCTTTTAGATAACTAATTGTTGTCTTGAACAATAAAGAAAATGTCAACTTTTCTAAGATCATTTTTCTTATGGCTTTGATTAAGGTAACTCTTCTCTGTGAAGCGTGCACCAACCACAAGCCTACAGTGTTGTAAAGAAAGAGCACAGACTTGGCAAAGCTCACAACCAGAGGGGAAATTATTGGAATGCAAAGAGGGTTCCCCCCACTTTATGCAATAGGTCCCATTAGCTAGTCCTTTTTTCAGTAAATGTCATGGTTTGTTAAGGAGCATTCATTCCTAGCTATTCAGAAACAGCAAAGTAAAATCAGCCAACTTAAAACACGGAAGATCAACGAAGATGAATCTAATATGAGGACAGGGCATTTGTGAAATAATGCTTACTCATTAGGAAAATGCGATTTGACAGGAAAAGTTAAGGTTACATACTTTATCTGTAATAGTGTCAGCAACAAAAATAAAGAAAGTAAATAAAATGAATGTCTTCTTGCAACGAGAAGAATTTTGACATATTTAAAGGTGAAGTCTGATGGTTTATTTTCTAGACCCAAACTGGGATAGAATGAAATGGGGAGCCGATGTCCTAGTTAGGCCTAGTCTGGAGTCTCCTTTCTTTTGTATCGAGGCCTCTAGATTCTCAAGGTTATAAAACAAAAGTGCAACTCCTTCTCCAACCCTCCTGAGTTCCCCTTTTAACTTTGGGATTTTGGAGTCCAGCCACTCTGGACTTGGAGGTGGTTGAGCAGTACTGAGTGATTCGTGCTGTCTGAAATCTTGCCCCCAGAGCTAAAAGGAATTGAGGAATGAAGCTATATTGTCACAGCCATCACTTGCTGCTATAATAACATTGAATCCTGCAGGGAACCTAGATTTTCACACTTGTCAAATTCTTGGCCAAGCTTACCCAGAGCAATAACCTTCTTGTAGTTGTAAAGTAATACTCTAGAGGGAAAAAAAAGAAAATTAAATGTTATTCAATGTTGAAAAAATAGTTTTCTAAACTTTTTCTATTTTGCTTTATGAGGATTTACATAGGTATTGTTTTTGGTTTGATCTTCTATTCAAACATTTAATTATAACATACAGGGATGCTTCACATTTTTGGGCTCTTGGTGAAATAGGGTGATTTTTTTAATGATGGCTGATGCATGGCTAGTAAATAATGATAATATTAACAATTGAAAATTTATTATTCACTCTTCATGTGAAACACCATCATGAAGAAATTCTTAGGTTTTGTTTGAATAATTTTTGGTAAAATTTCTCTAAAGTACATTGCACATATTTTTTCCTTCATGGACAGACTCTATGAGATAGAACATGTTAATGTCCTAGGACAGTGGTCAGCAAACTCATTAGTCAACAGAGCCAAATATCAACAGTACAACGATTGAAATTTCTTTTGAGAGCCAATTTTTTTAAACTTAAGCTATATAGGTAGGTACATTGTTATTAACTTAATTAGGGTAGTCCTAAGGCTTAGGAAGAGCCACACTCAAGGGGCCAAAGAGCCGCATGTGGCTCGTGAGCTGCAGTTTGCCGAAATTTGTCAGATGCTTTCCCTTAGAGGCTCTTTGACTTATATGATTTCTCTGCCTCTTCATACATTGTAAACTATCCCTTCTCAGTGTGTCACTTTTGAACAGACCAGCATTCTTCTGATCATATGGGGAAAACTAGACAACCTAGTTGTTACCTTATGTGTAGTTCTAACCTAGTCATGCCTGAACTTGACATTGCTTTCATGCCACTGCTGAAGAGAAAAGGGTTTGGGCTTGAGGCAGTTGATTTCCACAGTCTCCAGAAATGTCTCATTGATCTCACTTCTCTTGGCTGTGTCCTGGAAGACTGAGATTTTGCCGAATTGGTTAAGTTAATGGGTATAAATTACCTACTTTTTTTTGTTATTTCCTTAATACCATCATCATAAAATAAACATGGCCAAGCTTTGGCTTATAATGATTTGTAGCAAAGCTTGTCATCATTTAGCAGAACTGTTCCTTGCAGGATGAGAGATGAGAATGCGGGTGTGCCTACCTAACCCACCAGGCTAAAATGGCTTCCAATTTAGCAATTCTGATGCAACTTGTCAAAGGAAGGACAAGAATAGCCCCTACAGAGAAACATGGAAAAACACATCTCACTTTTCCTTCCCCCAAAGTCCTAAATGAAACCAGATCAGAAGAGGCAGAAAAACAAAGGAGAGAGGGTCTAATTTCTGACTCTGAAAAATAACAGAGAAAGTCAGTGTCAGGGAGCTGCTCATCATAATTTTTTGTAGGGTTAAGAATAAGTCAAGGGCAAAGGTATTTTTTTTTCTTTCCATGTGAACTTTCAGCTCACCTTCATGTGACTCCCCCCGCCCCCGCTTTTAAAAAAGTTCATGCTTCTTTCTGTCTGTGGCCCTCCCTCCCTTCCTGTATGTTTCTCATTACATTCAGCAGGGCTTATAATTTGTTATTTAATTTTTATTATATTATTGAGAGACTACACATTGCTAATATCTCAGGATTTGAAAAAGAAAACTTTTTTCCCCACCAGCTGATTTATGAACATAACTGAATTGAGATAATAATTTAAACAAAATAACCCAGTGGATGTCTTTGTGCTCAGTGGGTTTTAGAATATTATTATTATTATTGGTTATTCTTACATGCTGATTTTACAAATGGAAGGGGAACTTCTCTTTATCACTGAGGATAAAACTTTGCCACTAGATGAAGTTTATTTGGGTGTTTGTCTTACTGTTTGAAGAGAAGTTAGCTTTGTAATGCCCATTTTTATTTCAAATTCCTTTATTATTCCCCAATTACTTGGTTGTAGATGGACACACTAACTTCTACCCTTGGACTAATGCTTTGCTTAGTAGGCCGTATTGTGCCTTTAAGTTTTTCCAAAAGATAAAAATATTTAATGGCAGAAGAATGTGCTTTATGCATTAAGGGAGGTTTTAGTGTAAAGTCCTGTGTGGAGGAGCCACCCACTGATGGCCTTCCTTGTACCGACAGGACAACAATCCCCTGAGAATGACAACACCATCAAGGACCTGCTCCCAGAAGACGCTGGGATCGACCACCAGACCGTGCACCAGCTGATTACAGTGCTCATGAAGTTCATGGCCAAGGATGAGAGCAGCGCAGAGTCAGACATCAGCAGTGCGAAGGCCTTCAACACGGTCAAGCGGCACCTGTACGTCTTACTCGGCTATGACCAGCAGGAAGGTTGCTTTATGATTGCGCCTCAAAAAATGCGCCTGTCAACTTGCTTTAATGCGTTTATTGCAGGAATTGCCCAAGTAAGTGCAATAACAGCTTTTGGAAGTCATACCCTTGGACGTTCAGGAGAAACAAGTAATTAAGTCCATGTAGCCAACATTAGTTGAGTGTAAAAGTTTGTACAAATTACTTTCTTAGGAGTCTGTGAGGGGACTATACAGATGAGTAAGATTCAGCCACCTAATGTCATAAAGGGAGTTTGGGATTTTTGGGGGGGAGGTAGTGTAAAATATATATAACATGAATTTACCATTTTAGCCATTTTTAAATGTACAATTCTGTGTCATTAAGTACATTCACTTAGTTATGTAACCACCACCACTGTCCATCTCCAGAACTTTTTTATCATTCTAACCTAAAACTCTACCCAGTGAACAATAAGGCAGTGTGGGATCTTTATTTGTGGGTGTTTTTTTCTTTTCCTTTTAAAATTATCGAATTTATTGGGGTGACACTGGTTAACAAAATTATATAGGTTTCAGGTGTACAAATCTATGATACATCATCTGTATAATTGTACTGTGTGTTCACCACCCCAAGTCAAGTCTCCTTCCATCACCATTTATCCCCCCTTTACTCTCTTATACCTCCTCCAACCCCCTTTCCCTCTGGTAATCACCATACTTCTTTTTCTTTTTAAAAAATCCTTTTCCTTTTTGGCATCAAGTGGAGGATTGAATTAATCATACAACTTACTTCATGTAACATCACCCTTATTGGCTATTCCATATTTGCTATTTCTAACTGCTGTACCGTATGCCATGGTGTACATCTGCCATGCTTTAACTATCCATTCCCCCATGATGGACACTCATATTGCTCCCAACTCCTTCCTACCCCAAACCGCTCAGCAATGGACATCCTTGTACAGGCACCTTATCCACGAATGTGGGAATTCCTTGGAGACATGATCCAAGAGCAGAATTAAGGGACTGTGGGGGTATCTTGTGCGCCTGATTTGACCAGTGCTACAAATATGACTCTCCAGAATGACTGCACAGTCTGCAAAGGGTATAGGACTTGGGGAATAATGGACATGAATTTCAGCTCTGCCACTGTTACTAACTCTAGGGCCTTAGGCATCTTCTGCTTGTTTGCCCATTGGTAACAGACTTTTTTTGAAAGATCAGAGACAACATATTGCAAAGCACCTTGCTCAGTGCCGTCTCATGCTAGGAACTCAGGGATGGTAGCTGTTATCAATGAGCTCAAATAGATTGTAAAATAATGAACACAGATAAGCAGAGTGGGAGCAGTAGGTGTGTAGTTGTCTCTTGCTGATGCTGATAATTAGATGGACCACCACTAACTCAGCTGTCTGTGTTGAAGGAGAGTGCACCCTTTCAGCCACCAAGCTCTCCCTCCTTTTTCCCTCCTTCCTTCCCTCCCCTGCTTTTCCCTTTCTAAATCCATGTTATACATATTCATTTTAGAAATATAACCAATAAGGTAAAATACAAATCTCAAAAAAACCCATGACAAATAACTAACATTTTGGTATTATCACTGGCTCCAAATTTACACACATGTATGCATGTATATATCATATACACACATATATGTGTATATATGTATGTATATACATGCACATTTTAATAACAATAAGATCATGTTATACATATTAATATATGTATGTCTATCCTTTGAGAATATGTTTTTATTGATTTTAGAGAGAGAAGAAGGGAAAGAGAGAGAGAGAGAAAGAGAGAGAAACATTGATGTCAGAGAGAAACATCAATTGGCTGCCTCTTGCATGCCTCCCCTACTGGGGATTGAGCCCACATGTGCCCTGACCCAGACCCAGAATTGAACTGGTGACCTCCCAGTGCATAACACGATGCTCTACCAACTGAGCCACACTGCCAGGGCTGTATGTGTAACCTTTCGAAACGTAAAATATATTACAGAGTTCATATAATGTAAATAAGTTTGTATCATATCCTATTAATGTCTATGTAGTAGTCTGCTGTCATAAAAACAATCTTTTATTAACTAGTCCCATAATGTTGGAGATGTAGGTTTGTGTTCAGCTGGGGCTGGCTATAATGCTGACTATTTTTATGCATACATCTTGGAACACTTCTCTGATTATTTCCTTAGGATATATTTAATTGCTGTGCTAGAGGCTATGTACTTTTTTTACTTCTGAATACATGTTGTTAAATTGCTCTCTTGAAAGGTTGTATTGAGTAATATACTGTTTCCAGAAAGGTAATATACTGTGTCTGAGAATGTCCATTTCTCCACATGATTTCCCATACTAGGTGTTTTGATTGATTCTAAGTTTTATTCCACTTAATAGTTTAATAGGACATTTTAATAGATAAAATTTTATTTTAATAGATAAATTAGATTATTAGATAATTGAGTAGATTAAAACTATTTTAATAGACGAGGTTTTAAAAAAATTTCCTGTGAGGTTGGACTTTCCTCCTTTATGCGTAGTGGCCATCACTATTAATATTTTGTGAGATGCCTGTTAAATATTTTGCCTGTGTTCGATGGTTCAAATTTTTCCTTTTGGCTTGTAAGTGTTCTTTATAGTTTTCCTTCAGTTATTAATTTCTTTCCTATTTCAGGTTATGGACTATAACATTAATTTGGGAAAACACCTTCTCCCCTTGGTGGTTCAGGTGCTCAAATACTGCTCTTGTCCTCAACTACGGCATTATTTCCAACAGCCACCTCGTTGTTCCCTCTGGTCCCTAAAACCTCACATCCGGCAGATGTGGTTGAAGGCCTTGCTTGTCATCCTGTACAAGGTGAATTGCTGTAGTTACTTCTTTTTGGGTGGAATGATTCTCTTAGTGAGGAGAACACTTAAGAGACCTATGTTGAAAATGTTGTAGGACAATCATTTGACCTTCAGAAGAAGAATTGTCATATACAATTAGCGCTGAGAAGCAAAGAGCTATTGGAATGGAACTAGAAATGGAGGCCATGTCAGTGTCTTCTCTTGAAAATGTTTAAAATAAAAAAAGATGAATTGTAGGACTTCGATCAACCACTTCGATTTCTGACCAGAATCTCCTATTTTATCTAATTAATATATATTAATTTTTATGTCAGAAAACAAGGAAAGTATTTAAAATTGTATTCATAGACCAAATGTTTATGGCAAATAATTTTGTTGAAAGGAATTGTAACTGGGAGCTGGCATGCATTGCCGTCTGTGGTTCGGTGCAAGGGGCAGGGAATAAGGGCATGCATGATAAGGATTGATGTTTTTGCCTATCTATATTTTTCTTTTTACCCTCCCCCCCTCCAAATGCTGAGGAAACTATCTAGCAAGATCAAGTGGAAAACTTACCTTCGAAATAACCATTTGTATATTTCTCCCTTTGTTTTGTTGTGCAGTATCCATATCGGGACTGTGACATCAGCAAGGTCCTGCTGCACCTGATTCACATAACAGTCAATACACTCAATGCACAGTATCATAGCTGCAAGCCCCATGCCACGGCGGGCCCTTTGTACAGTGACAACAGTAACATAAGCAGATACAGCGAGAAAGAAAAAGGTACTTCACCCATCTCAATTCTATCCTAAACTGAGTTTGAATACGTAAAACATCCTGGACAGTGTTTCTCTTAGGAGACAGAAGGGGGCCCTCAGGTGTCATTCTGGAGTCAAAAAATCACTTACTGCTTCATTAATTTTCCAACTTTCCCATGGATGTTGCTGCCTTAATTTTTAAAATGAAAGAGAAATAATTAATGTGCTTCTGAAATCCATTTCATAAGAAATAGTGTTTGGTAAAGATTGTCTGCTGTTTGGTTAAGAGACCTTTATGGGCCTTTTCCTACGTGACGGAAACACCTTGCTTTGGGCTGTGAGGTAATTCTTAGTAGAGGCATGTAATCTTGTCGGTCTCTCGTTTGCTCCTGAACTTTGCGCTCACAGATTTGAATGGAGTCTGCATTTGCTGACATGCTTTTTGTAGCTGCCCTATTCAATAAGAATTGATTTAAGGCAACTGGAATGAAATACTTTTGCTGCATAGGTTTACATTATCTCCGATATTGACTTTTTATATTGATAGCTTTTCCACAAAGGAGTAGAATAAAGCTCTAGAGTAAAATTATAGCCTGAAGAACCAAGGTGTTTATCTTTAGTGCCTGTCACGGGGTGACTAGACTTGTAAAAGGTGACATCATCTAATCCAATCCTGGGAGAAAGCCAAGTGTCCCCTGACCCTTTGGTGTGTTATAGAGCGGTGTTAATGGAGTCTGCCTTGGTTGACTGCTCTGAAAATATCTCATTAGGATGGGTTGGAGCCAGCGTTCCATTATTGGTTTATTGCTGCAAGGTCTGAGTTTAGGTTGGCTACAGATGGATCTCAGAGTCCTAAGTTATTTAGCTCTGGTATCCATCAGACCCTTTCTGAAGAATATCTCATCTACCAGTTTAGGTCCTAGTTTCTGGGAAATTCGGTGGATCCAGTTACACTAGGGATGTCCTCAATGTGGGCTCAGCGTTTGGGCCAGTCCCAGGTGACCCTTTCTAGATGGGAGATGCCATCCTGAAGCCTTTCTTCTCGATTATTCAGTATAATTGAGAATTATTTTGCAGCTATGTAATGGCAATTGCATAACTCTTTCCTCAAAAACCTGCATTTTAAAAGGAGTATGTTTTTATAAAGGAAATAAAAAAAATAAAACAGGTCACTGTTGCCTCTTCTCAAGACACAGGAGTTTGATAGGCTTTCTCATCTTTGTGGAAGTTCACTGGTAGTCTTGTACCCATTTTAATGGTTAACATTTATTTTTTTATTTGACAAAAAGCATCACTATTCTTGGTTTATCTAATATCTACTGCTTCAAATTTCACTTACTTATAGACTCTTGTGTATGAGGACAGGATCAAAACGTAACTCTGTATTTGTACTACCCTTATGCTCAAGAAAGCTTAAATAACCTTAATCGCACCTGAGCCTCATTTTGTCACATAGGTAGACGTCGATATAGGCCAAATGCTGTGATTTCAGTGATATTCAGCTCCAACAGTAGGTTAATTCCATTTATCCTGGTACTAAGTGCACTTTTCTAGCCTTTTCTCTTGCTGCTTTGAACATGGCTTTGGCCTTTCCAAAGCATGGAAGGACATTTGAAATTAAGTGAACTTTATGGGGTGCAACATAGCAACCCTTTCCTTATTAATTCATTTTTGTGTTTCTCTTTGATTTAAAATTGGCCAAATGGGGACAGAAGAAGACATAGAAAAACGCTTGACAGGCATTCTAGTGACCAGTTTATTGAGGGGGCCTCAGGCTGATGAGCCAAAGATTCCTCCTGGGATTCACTGTAGTTACACATGACAAACTCCTCAGAGAAGAGTCTTTACTAGGGGGAAATGTTACTTTCTGTTTTCTTTTTCCTTTGTTTACTCTTTCAGCCCATAATCATTTGTGGAGCTTTTAAGATGGCCAGTGGCGTTTCTAAGCTTTTTCTGTGTGTTGTGTGTGCCATTACCAAATGTAGAGTACAGTATTTTGCATTCACAAAGTATAAGGTGCATGTACTGTTAGGCTGTGTCTATGCCAGTTCTCAAATCCCAAGAAGGCATATATTTTTGGAAAGAGTGAGAACCACTCATTTTGCTTAATTTTCTTTTGCTAAATTAGCCTGAAAATTCACCCAAGGCAGGGAGGTCAAGCAGTATCCCAGACTCCTGACACCTATGTATTATCTGGTTTTCAGTGCATTGGGAAAGCTTCTGCATGAGGCTCTATTGGAACATTGAAATGTCTCTCTTGAAAATGCTGCCAATTTGTCACCTGGGAAATGAGGGGCAACCTCGTATAACAGGTTGCTCTGTTCAACATATGGATGATTTGATGCCTGGATGAAATACAAGCCATGGCTAGACGTGGGCTGGCGTAGAAACCACCCCAGACTTGGCTCTATGTAATGTTTTCATTGAAATGCTTGTGTAGACACAGCCTAAGAGAGAATAACCTCTTAAGTGTAATTTTGACTTTCTCTCCCCAATTAGAAGAAGATAGTGTTTTTGATGAATCTGATATTCATGATACACCTACTGGACCCTGCAATAAAGAGTCTCAAACTTTTTTTGCAAGATTGAAAAGGATAGGCGGCAGCAAAATGGTGAAATATCAGCCGGTTGAGATGAATGTACAGAGAAGTATGAATTTTTTCCTCTTAGTAATTTTATGCAGAAATGTTGTACTCTACTGTTTGTTTGGGGTAAAACCTTAATTTTATTATGTTACTACACATTTTAATACCGTTGATTTTATATATATGTATGCATAAACAGTATATATATATATACACACACATTTATATATATATGTGAATTGACAGATACCTCATTAACGTCATGACTGTGCTAGAGGGCCATTGCTTGATTTGATTTTTTGCAAAACGTTTGTTTCTCTTCCACACAATTTGAATACAGTTTCCTAGATCAGCCTCAGCCAAAGCGATCCCCTCTCCTGTACAAATGAGCAGAGCTGAGGGATTTTTCCGAAGCCTGATTTTGGAAATATAAATCTTAAACTGCCATTGTGGGTTCTCTCATTCCAAGGGTTTCTGGTTTTTGAAATTAGAATGAACCTTACAAAAACTTGGTCAGAAAGTCAGTTTTGCCTTCTGGTGGAGCTGGGATTGTGATGACGATTTATGCCAACTGTATGCCCACGTATGAGGGGGGAAAAGAAACAACGGTGAAGTCTCCCCATAAAATAGTACTAGCTTTTTCTGTTTCAATCAGGTGAAATAGAGCTGGCTGAATATAGAGAAACGGGTGCATTACAAGACAGCATTCTCCACTGTGTGAGAGAAGAAAGCATTCAGAAAAAAAAGCTGCGCTCTTTAAAACAAAAATCTCTTGATATAGGGAACGCAGACTCCCTGTTGTTTACATTAGATGAGCACCGTAGGAAGTCCTGCATAGACCGGTGTGACGTAGATAAGCCCCCCGCCCAGGCTGCTTATGTCACGCACAAACAGCATGACCACGGACGGTCCCGACAGAATTCTGCTACCAGAGGGAGCAATCCTGAAGTCCCCGAGAACCCCGCCGTGGGAGGTTCTCAGGAAAGGCGGAGGCCCGTGATCCCCGAGGTCAGGTTGAACTGCATGGAGACGTTTGAGGTCAAAGTTGATTCGCCAAGAAAGCCTGCTCCTAAGGAGGACTTAGATCTGATCGATCTGTCCTCAGATTCGGCTTCTGGGCCTGAGAAGCAGTCTATGCACTCCACCTCTGACAGCGACTCCCTCGTGTTTGAACCGCTGCCCCCTCTCCGAATAGTAGAGAGCGACGAAGAGGAGGCGGTGGGCCCGGGAAATGATGGTGCTGCTGGCAAAAATGCTGCCTCCTCGCCCTCCATCCCCAGCCGCCCCCCGGCCCTCAGCCTGAGCACAGCTCCTCTTGTGCAAGTAAGTGTGGAGGACTGTTCCCAAGGCTTTTCCTCCAAGGACTCAGGAACTCATCAGCCAGCAGGGGACAAGGACTTCCGTTTCATAGCTCTGGAAGACCCCGCCGACTCCGAAGACGTAGCGAGGCCGGGGGAGCTGCAAGAGCTTTCCGGGGGCAGCCCGCTCACGCTGAAACAAAAACGAGACCTCCTTCAGAAGTCATCTGCTCTCCCCGCCTTGTCCCTGGACGAGACCCTGGAGCCTGGCCTCGAAGAAGAGACGCCGGGTGGGCTGATGCCAAGCTCAGGGGCGAAAACTGTCCTCCTCAAAGTCCCTGAGGATGCCGAGAGTCCAATGGAAAGTGAGAAGCCGGACACCAGCGCTGAATCCGATACCGAACAGAATCCCGAGGGGAAGGTCGAAGAGGAGGGAGCTGAGGAGTCGGAATTTAAGATTCAGATCGTTCCCAGGCAGAGGAAGCAGAGGAAGATTGCGGTCAGCGCCATCCAGAGAGAGTACCTGGACATCTCCTTCAACGTTCTGGACAAACTGGGAGAACAGAAGGATCCAGGTGAGCTCCTGCCTCCTCTTCTTCCAGCCCTGCATTCAAGTTTGTGCATCTTACTGGTTAGGTTCTTGGCTTTGACTGTGCATACATTTTTAATCTTTTTAAAAAAAAGTATTTTTATTGATTTCAGAGAGGAAGGGAGAGGGAGAGAGAGATAGAAACATCAATGATGAGAGAGAATCATTGATTGGCTGTCTCCTGCACACCCCCAACTGGGGATCGAGCCTGCAACCCGGGCATGTGCCCTGACAGGGAATCGAACCATGACTTCCTGGTTCATAGGCCGGCGCTCAACCACTGAGCCACGCCAGCCGGACATAAATTCTTAACCTTATATGGTCAGGGAGTGACATTATAATTGTTTCATAATCACTCCAGATCCTTCCTGCCCGGCTGCTCGTGTTGGATTCAGATGTGGTTTTATTGGCTCCATAAATGTTCCCGTATCTGTTGTTTCTAAACTCTTCAGTGAATTCTTGACCATCCTTGTCAATTAGAGGCAATGCTTAATTCATATGAAGATACTCCAAACATCATTTTAGTCTTCCTCAATCAGCAAAAGCCATTAATGTGAACTCTTTTTTTTTTTTTTTAACACACTTCATTGATTTTTCACAGAGAGGAAGGGAGAGAGATAGAGAGTCAGAAACATCAATGAGAGAGAATCATCGATCAGCTGCCCCCTGCACATCTCCCACCGGGGATATGCCCGCAACCAAGGCACATGCCCCCGACCGGAATCGAACCCGGGACCCCTCAGTCCACAGGCCAACGCTCTATCCACTGAGCCAAACCGGCTTCGGCAATGTGAACTCTTTTTGCCCCTCTCCCCCCATCCCCCCCACCCGTGCTTTAGTGAGCTGTGATATAGTCCAAAGGAGGAGCAAATACGAAGGGCTAACATAAAGCAAAAAGTGCTTAGAATAATGAAGAATTGACTGTATACTCATTTAGGGCCTTCAGTTGATTATATATTTTGAACAATATCAGCAATCTGGTGGACATTGTGTCCCCTCAAGAACAACAACAACAAAAAAGTCCAGTTATCACCGAGACCCTAATCCGTGGACACCATGTGGTGGTGAAGTTGTCACAGCACAGGGATTTCCTGCCTCAGGGGCCATTTCTTGTGCTTCCTTGGAGACACGGTTTCTAAGAAAGATAACTTGCAAAAGTGGCAAGCAGGTAGCCCGGCTAAAACATAGTCTGCTGTGGTATTGCCATGCTGCTGATCGGCCGCTTCCTCATGTCTCAACTCAGATCTTTTAAAAAAAGGAATGGAATTGGTCAGGGCTGATTATCTTATTAAATTCCTAGGCTGTAGAGCAGCGGTTCTCAACCTGTGGGTCGTGACCGCTTTGGGGGTCGAACGACTCTTTCACAGGGGTCACCTAAGACCATCGGAAAACACGTATATAATTACATATTGTTTTCGTGATTAATCACGAAATTGGGGGTCACCACAACATGAGGAACTGTATTAAAGGGTCGCGGCGTTAGGAAGGTTGAGAACCACTGTTCTAGAGCATTGAGAACTGGCAGAGAGCTCAGAGACCTCGCTTTCTGTGAGAGGGCCCTGCACGCCCCCCCCACCCCCCACCCCCCACCCACCGCCCCCACCAGAAGGTGATGGGCCTTGCTGCGGGTCACACAGCCAGGTGGTGGCAGTGCCGGGCCTAGTCCCTCAATTCTAGTCCTGCTTCTCCCACTGCTCCATACATAAGCCACTCCTTTGAGGACGGGCTCAGCTCTTTTATTTGCCCGGGTATTTCCTGAGGTTTCTGACTGTTCTCTACCTCATAGGACAGAGCTGTGTACCTCAAAGGTACTCTGTGAAAATCTGTTGAGTGAACGTTAGGGTATTTGAAAAAGGGCATGCTCCAGCCAGGCAGGGGAAGGGAAAGACCCTGGTACTAACCAGGAAGTTTCCTAAGGAAACTAGGGTAGCTTCTTATTGTTTGGAGCCAGGAAAGTTTCTGCATATAGATGGAGGACAGCATTGGCCTAGAAGCTATAGAGGTCTATAGGGTGGGTATATCGGAGACTATAGAAGGTCTGTGGGGTGGGCGTGTATGATATATAGGTTGCAGGTATGTTGTGTGTGTATGTGTGTTTCTTTATTCATCCTTATGTTAGATTGTTCCCCGGGATACTAAGGAGAAAGTTGGTTTTATATTAATATACTTGTTCCTAGAATAAGAAGGAAGTATCTGACAATTACAATAATGTCTTTAAACATGTTATAATGTATATTGTACAGTCATATAATTTTATATCTGTAATGTCCCACCTCCCACAGACACACAGATCTCCTCGCCTTCCTTGCTGGGTGTTGGATGGAGACCCACGCTCTCACCTAGGAGCTGTTTTACTTTTATTTCTGACAGTTTTGCAAGTTTGGTGGTCATCCAGCAACAGAATAGCATCTGCTTGCTTTAGTTGTATATGTTGTGGTGTTTTGCTCTGTGGCAAGAAGAAAGGATTGAGCATAGGAGAAGGATGAGACAGAGACATGACTAAGCTTAAGGACTCGAGGCCATTTAGGGTGGCATCCCTGACCTGCAGCACAGAGTCACGAAAGCACGTAGTGGCAACTCCGAGGTGCTCTCTGTGTCCGATAGTTAGTGCTGCTTCCGGTGGCAGGGAGGTTTGTAAGAAATTTTAGGAGGCTTGCTACAATAAACTATTAAACTTTTCAAAAGCTTTTAAAAGATAATCTTTACCTAGAATAATGTGGAGTACCTTTCCCCCATTAGATTACTAAGACAATACCATATGCAGAAAATATTTCACCTTGGATACATTTGTCAAATAGGAGAAGCAAATGATACAGTCTGTTTCTTGCTCAACTAATAAAATATAAAATCTGAGTTAACATTATTCATTTCATGTTCAATACAGTCTATGCCCCTACATTAAATATGGTTTAGCAAAGTTATAGACAAGTAAATAGGAAATTACATTATAGTGTTTTAGGTTAGGGAGAGATTAAGGACAGGGTGCTCTGGAATTATGTAAGTGTGTTGCCTGACCCAGTTTTTGTTTGTTTGTATTTGGGGGGTGGGGGAGGGGTCTCAAAAACCATCCTGGAGGAGGAGTTTTCTGTGTAAATTGAGATGTAAATGATGAGTAGGAAAATGCCAGGTAAAGGTGGAGTGGTGGAATGATATAGATGGAATGAACTGTAAGCGAGTTTAGGTGTTAGATGAGAAGAAATTAGTCTGGAAGGTGAAGGGACCTGCTCAAGGACGGGCAGTGTGAGCATGTGAGGCCTAGTTGTGTCCCTGTGCTGTCGTTGATCTCCGAGAGGCCAGCTACAGATGCAGAGTGTAATACGCAAGCAGTTGTCCATGAAACTTTGAATGTAATTCCACTAAAGTAATTAGTAGGGTCAGAAAGTATATAACGGTATATAATGGGTATATAAGTAGAATGAGTGTATTAGGCAAGCGGGGAAAGTATACAGAAAAGGTTCTATCTAGACTTTGTTTTTAATCAGTGTCCTGAATTTTAAACACTATTTATGGTTGCAGATCCCTCTACTAAAGGACTTTCTACGTTGGAAATGCCACGAGAATCCTCGTCCGCCCCTACCCTAGAAGCAGGTGTGCCAGAAACAAGCAGCCATTCCTCGATATCAAGTAAGATTTCTTCTGCATTGATTTTGGAACATTATCTGCTACCTTATTTTCAATTTTCACACACTTGGTTTTCTTTTTTTAATGTTGTGTTAGCTTCCTAGGTGACACTATGCTGTATGTTCTCAGAGACCCTAAGGCATGGGCTCACCTTTGTCAACATCTCAAGTGTTTGATAAATCAGTATGGTTACTGATGGACCAAGAATTCTCATTTGTTAAGGAATAATCACTGAATTTCATCATTCAATAAAATAATAATTACATATTACAAGCCTAAACATAAAACATGGAACGGGTTTTGGGACAAGTGGAAAGCATTATGCATGGAATATTTTAATTTGAATTCCCTCCATCATTAAGCATGGTTAATTTATCTGGGTTATCATAAAATAGATGTATTGGATATCTCATGATCCCAACATCATGGTGGAATCAAGTCCTTTAGACCAGGAAATAAAAATGGCCTGAAATTTTTACAAGATCTATAAGAGGCAACTATTTGGAAACTGCCTTCAGTTGTTGGGTCCTAGATTTTGTCATGAGGAGCTTGAGTTCCGCGGAGGTGAGGGTAAGGGTGTCCACCTGGCTCAGTGGAGGCAAGTAAGAGACTTTCGAATAGGAAATTGTCTGCAGGAATCAGATGCAAACAGGCGCAAGTTCTGCAAACTCTGGTCCCGTGTGCTGGTATCGTCTGTGTTCTATGTGGACACTGCCCGAGGAGCTGGTTAATTTTCATCTGACTCTCTTGAAATGAGGATGATTCTGAAAAATCAGATAACGATCTTAACTTACATGCTGGACTGGTAGTACGGAACAACATCATCATCTTCATCGTTCATTCATTCATGCTTTCATTCATTCAGCCACTAGTTATTAAGGGTCTGCTGGGTGCAGGCACTGTGCTTGGCACTGGGGATCAGATGTGAATACATAGACATCCCTTCTCCTCAAGGAGTTCACGGTCATATTAGTGATAAGAGCAGCACTGATGTACATTTGTCATGTGCCAGACACTGTGCCGAGTGGCTTACACACATTGTGGTCTTATTCAGGCCTTACATTAGCATTGCATGGCAGAAGTTATTGACCCCATTTTATAGATTAAGAAACAGGTTCAGAGAGGCTAAAGGACTTTTCTGAAGTCGCACAGCTAGTAAGTGGTAGAGATAGGAATTGGTGCCAGGTCTGTTTGACTTTTCAAGCTCATGCTCTTTTTAGTATACCGTGCTGCCTTAGAATAAGTCACAATCAGTTATAATAGAGGTGATAGGAACTCTAAGAAAGAGTTTCCAAGTGCCTGTTATTTTCCCTTTTGGTAGCAAAGAAGAATGGTTAGTTCTGAATCTAGTTGTTCTTTTTTTTAATCACAAAAAGTCTATTTGATAACCTGATAAAATGCCCATTTTAAAAAAATCTATTTTTATTGATTTCAGAGAGGAAGGAAGAGGGAGAGAGAGACAGAAACAACAATGATGAGAATCATTCATCAGCTGCCTCCTGCACACCCCTACTGGGGATCGAGCCCACAACCTGGGCATGTGCCCTGACTGGGAATGGAACTGTGACCTCCTGCTTCAATGCTCAACCACTGAGCCACAACGTTTAGGCTAAAATTCCCATTTTTACTAAAATCATGAAAGTGTATTTTCTCCTGATTTTCATGAGCCATATGAAAAAATAAAAAGGTAGTGAATTTAGTTAGAATTCCAAGTTGGGTATACTTTGAGATAGGATGACTAAGTCAGTTTGAATTCAGTGCTAGTTAAATGTATCATAAAATAAATGTGCCAATGTATCATAATCCCCATTCATGACTGAATCAAATCCTTTCAGATTTAGCATAGTGCATCCTTAGATTTCCGCCTTCCTCCTTCTCTTCACTAAAAGCGTGTATTAGATGGTTCTTGCTGATATGTTCTTGGAGGCATAATGCCAGGGGTCTTACACGCTGAGCTAACTATTAAGGATTTTTATTCTTAGGGAATTCTGTTGTCTTTAAAAACAGGGAATTGGAGAAATTATTCATTCATTAGAGTTTTCACAACTTTTTTTTGCTGCTAATTTTTAAATTTCTCAAATCTTCTAAAAGAGCTTCACTTTTGAATTTTAAAGAGGCTGTACTTTTCAAGTGAGTCATAAAGTTGTAAGTTTTACCAATCAACCAGAAGAATCAGAGATTTTTCATATTAGTTTGCATCGTCATTTCCATGAATTCAGTTAAGCTGGATTCCAAGACACAAGAATTCCCATCACACCCCTCTCTTTTCATCAGTTTATTAGCTGATTATTTTGTAGCTAAGCATGCCATGACCACCATGAATCAAACAGCATGCTAATTACATGAAAAGCAATATTGTGATTGCTTTCACATCACACCAGGCTGCTGCCTTGGTACCATGATTGAGAAACCTGCCTATGACACTCAGGACTTTCTGGGGACCATACAGTCATCCCAGTTGCTACCATCCCCTTCTGGGTCATGACGTGCAGAGCTTCAGTTTCTGAAATTGTCCTTATAAGAGGGTGAATGGCCACAAGTTCTCACACATCCTGGTGTTTGGGATCCTGTAGAGAAAGCACATCGTGGTGCGCTGCCTTTCTCGCTGGGCGGGGGCTGGGAGGGGTGGGGCTGCTGGGGAGGGATCGGAGGGCCGTGGCAGGCGGCTTTCTCATTGGCAGTCTCCTGGCAGAGGTGCTTCTCCTGTTTCTTTCTGGTTTGGAAATGCTTATAACTTGACATTTCATTGGTGGCATATTTGTCAGTGCCCAATTGCAGAATAAAAATGTTACCACAGCTTTCTGACACAAGATGTTAGCTAACCTGATAAAGACATGTGCTAGAATATACTTGCGGAACACTATCCGAGCCACACTTCTCAAATAGCAGGCTCATACGGAGATTGAAAACAGCATTGACTTCGGAGTCAACATGCTTTGGTTTTACGACCACCTTATTTGCTGGTTGGTTCCAAGTAACATAATTTCATCAGCTTCAATTTCTTTTTAAGAATTGGGGTTGATATGTGTCATCCTACTCTAAAATATACCTGTGTGTACTTACACACACACACGCACACACACACACTTGCACACACCACGGGGACGTCAGGGGATATAACGGAAACGGAAACTATATGTGCACAAGCTCCATTAAAGAAAGTTGAACTATGAATTCAAAGTGAAATTATCTGTCTTAAATACTTTTTGGAACAAGGCAGATATATAAATAAAAAGTTAATGACAAAAATCATGTTGTTGGACTAAATATGTACAGGCTACAGACAGTGCCCGTAGGCGCTGTGTTTTTCTCTACTGAGTGGAGAAAGGCGCCTGGAATAGCGTAGTGCTTTAGTTTTTCGTTTGGATAGGAGCATACAGTTTACCAAACATGACGAATAGCCGATGGAGACTCAATTAAGATTCTATCTGGATGTGTAGAGCCTTTGTGTGCCATGCGGATTTATCCCCCTAGTAATCATCTCCTAATTTCCTTCATATAGCTCAGTATAGGCAGATGAAAAGGGGATCCCTGGGAGCTCTGACAATGAGCCAGTTAATGAAGCGACAGCTGGAACATCAGTCTAGCGCCCCCCATAACATCAGCAACTGGGACACTGGTGGGTCAAGCTTTTTCTTCTTGTTTTACCTCTCAGATGAGCTAATGCCACTTTCCCTGCGTCCCTTCTGCTCCCTTGTTAAGGAATAGACGTTCTCTTGTGCTCTGTGGTTCAAATGATTTTTTAAAACCCTTAAAGTAATTAACAAGTCTACTTAAACTTTCCAAGCATTCTAGAGCCACCTGTTCTCCCATCTAGGTTGATCCAACTCTTTTTTTCCCCCCTCTAAGACCCGGATTCCAGATATTAGGTTATCTGTCTGGGAGTTTAATGATGTAAATGCATAGAGGAAGGAATGGCACTATGATTTCATGATGTGAATTAAAAGTACAAAACGAAATACCAGGTCACCAATATACTCGGTTTTATAAATTGTAAAGTACCCAAATAAGGGACTGTTAATAGTAATAATAATAATAGCCAGTGTCAGCCTAGTGACATCATGATCTGCCAGTAGGTTTGGGAATGTGGGCTGTGTGTCTGAGTCAGCAGGGCACCAGGTTGCAGCCGCACACCCTCATGCTCATACGATGGAAGTGCATCTAACCTCATTGTTAAAGTAAGAACTGACTGCCGTGACATGTCTGGTTTACACATGATCCCTCTGCATTTTCTACACTTTATTACCATGTTTTTCTGCACATGTACCACTTTCTCAAGCCAGTACTTACGGCCTCAATCCTGTTCTTTTGAGTGCCTGCTTTTCTTCTTTTTAATTAAATGGGTCATTTGGGTTACAAAATTACACATGTGAAAGCACTTTGCAATATGCATGCACCAGGAAAATATCAGGATTTGTCACTTGGATCTGGGGGCCAACACTTGGATTGGGCTAATTTAGTATCTTGGCTAGTACTTTCTGGCTACAGTTATATGCAGTTATTTTAATATCCTTCCTTAAGACCAGGACCTATAATTTCCACAGGCCCAAAATCTTGAGATAGTGTTATTTTTTCAAAACCATAATAGTTACATAATTTCAACTTATTTCCCCCCAGTCTTCAAAAGAAAGAAAGAAAGAAAGAAAGAAAGAAAGAAAGAAAGAAAGAAAGAAAGAAGAAAGAAAAAAAGAAAGAGAAAGAAAGAAAGAAAAAGAGAGCTGGTCTATATGACTGAATCCTACACACTATACTCAATCCTACATTTAGCAGATAGTTTCAGTTCTCCTGGCCTTTATAAGGGTTGTTAACATTTTGCGGGTTTAGTGTTTTATCTTTCATTTACTGATAGGTGGTAGTGAGTAATGAAATGCCCAAAAGCCGACAGGCAAGGAGACCAGGAGGAAGACATTGGATAGCCAGTCTTGAGAGTTTGGGCGAAGTCTTCTATCCACACCAAGAGGACTTTGTTGCTCTCTTTACTGAGATGAAGCTGTGTAAGGAACTGAGAATGAAAGCTTTTGTTTGGTTAGTTCTTTAGTAATTAAATGTCCAACTTTTGTTCAGTTGACCTGTGGGCTCCAGAGAGTAGTTCACCATTGTACTGTTTTCTATAGCAAGTAGCTCAGCCTAAGCTAACCATTTTAGATTCTGACTACAATGACAACCCAGTTTGTTTGACTCAGTAGAGATAAAAAGGCAAATAGAGCTCAATTTCCAATCTAAATTTTAATCTAAAAAAAATCTGCATGATGCCAAATAACCCATTTAACTGAATTTTTCACTTTTCAACCAAACTTCCGCCTTGTTCATGTCACTCTGGTGTCTCAGTTAATACTCACTATTTCCATGCTGTCTGAATTTCTTTCACCCAGGTTTCCCTGGGCTGGTTTTCCATCCTCCAAGTTGGTTCTCTGGTCACCAAGTCCAACTAGAGCTTTAATCACAACATTCTTGTTTTTGTTCATGCCATAAAACGTTCTCCCCAAATCCAAGGTCAGAGGAAAGTCGATGAACGTGTAGTTCAGTGTTAGGAGGCATAGTACATCATACCACATACATTGATTCAGTGACTCACTAGCCTGCAAAAGAACAGATCTAGTCATGGAGACACACTGAGAAAGACAGCCTAAAGCATGATCGAGTCCCCTCAGCATGCACCGCTCACTCACAAAGTGCCTGTTTCCTCCGTCCATGTACAACTGATGGCTTACGTTTTTGCTTCATCTTTCACATGAAACCCATGTTCCTGAAGCACCGCTCCCCCATTTCTGCCCCTGCCCCCTTATTCCTGTTCCTCAGTCCTCACATGCCTGTCATTTCCTTGCTACCAGTTCCACATGTTTTCTATATGACCATTCTGGCCATTGCCCCAAATGATCACTTATGTATTTATTGATTCTCATAAAACATTTCTTTATGGCTGTGACGTTAGCCTTTTATTTTTTCATTTCATATCAAGAGAGATGAGATTTGAGCTCTTTTTGGGGTGATAGTGGTGGAATCTGGACTATTTTTGGATGGTTTTAGATGCTCTGCTGCTATTAATTGCATTTCATAGATCTGAAGGGCAGATTTGTAGTGAAACGCCAAACAGCCCTGCCCTAAAAAGTAGGATGTTTCTTGTAAATGTTAATAATCAACTATAACCATGACTGAAAACATGGCCCCAAGAGATCTGGTTAAATTCTTTGGATTGTGAATTGTGCTCAGTTGACCACATTGAGACTGGGATGCTCTATTTGTCCACAGAACAGATACAGCCGGGGAAACGCCAATGTAACGTGCCAATGTGCCTAAACCCTGACCTGGAGGGACAGCCACTGAGAATGAGAGGTGAGTGGAGTCACAGAATCTCAGGCTGTGAGAACTAAAGAAACTGTATCTGTCAATCACTGAGTCACCCAGGGGGTGTGGAAATCTCTTGTTTGGCAGCTCTGTGAAGTGGCTCCCTCCTTTGCTCAAACACCTCCAGGGAGCGGGAATGTATGACGTCTCTGAACATGACCAACAGGAAGTTATTCCTCAGAGAGACTTTCCAACCCTCGGGACCACGCAAAACAAGTCTGGTCTCCCTCAGTAGTCACCTGTTGCTTATTCCTCAGTCTGTCCTGGAACATACATCCCTGGGTCCTTCGGTATCCCTCCCGATATGTGTCAGTTTTCCATATCACCCTGAATCTGCTTCTCTGGGCATGGTCCAGCTTCTCTGTGTTCCCGCCAGAATGTCGAGGTCACTGATGAATAGGTTCTTTTCAGCCTCTGAAATGGCACAGAGTGCGCTCTTGACATTGTGCTGCTCCTAGGAGCAAGCGGAGAATGAGTCTGTGCTAAGTTCATCAGGACGTGTATTTTCAAAATTCATCTCATGGCTAGTTAATCATTACTTTTGTTCTTTTTTAATTCAGAAAGCAGGTTAACCTATCATTTGTAAAAAGTAAAAATGAATCATGACCGCATCTCTTAGCTAGCCGCTTAGATCAGGCAGACCTGCTATTCCTATCACTCTTATTTTCCCTAGGGATGAGGGGATATTTATCTCCAGATGTTGCTAACATTTGTATGGCGCTGAGTAGCAGTTATAGTCTCCGTATCGGATGAGAGGAGACTCTTCTCATTTAGGGGCCTAGGAAAAGCTTTTAGGAGCAGAAATCAGGGTGGTCGAGCAAACTCTGGTCCTTGTCCGTGACCTAGAGGCACAGTTAGCAGCACACACTAGTGGCACAGTTAGCAGCACACATGGAGTGAAGTGATGAGAACAAAGACGGCGAGGCTCTTTCACGGTAAATGAAGAGCCCGTTGATGCAGTGTGGGGACTGAGTGTGCATGCATGCTTGCTTTACCAGTGGTTCTCAACCTTCCTAACACCACGATCCTTTAATACAGTTCCTCATGTTGTGGTGACCCCCAATTTCATTGTTACAAATTGGACATAATTAAAGCATAGTGATTCATCACAAAACAATATGTAATTATGTATGTGTTTTCCGATGGTCTTAGGCAACCCCTGTGAAAGGGTCGTTCGACCCCCAAAGGGGTCGCGACCCACAGGTTGAGAACCGCTACTTTAGACAGACCAATCCTTTATGCTTTCTCTTTTTTTTTTATTAAATCTTTATTGTTCAGATTATTACATTTGTTCCTCTTCCCCCCCCCATAACTCCCCTCCTTCCAGCTCCCACCCCACCCTCCGCCCTCACTCCCCACCCACTGTCCTCATCCATAGGTGCACGATTTTTGTCCAGTCTCTTCCCGCATCTCCCACACCCCTTTTCCCCCCAAGAATAGTCAGTCCATTCCCTTTCTATGTCCCTGATTCTATTATAATCACCAGTTCATTCTGTACATCAGGTTATTTATTCACTTGATTCTTAGATTCACTTGTTGATAGATGCATATTTGTTGTTCATAATTTGTATCTTTACCCTTTTCTTCTTCTTCCTCTTCTTAAAGGACACCTTTCAGCATTTCATATAGTACTGGTTTGGTGGTGATGAACTCCTTTAGCTTTTCCTTATCTGTGAAGTTCTTTATCTGACCTTCAATTCTGAATGATAGCTTTGCTGGATAAAGTAATCTTGGTTGTAGGTTCTTGCTATTCATCACTTTGAATATTTCTTGCCATTCCCTTCTGGCCTGCAAAGTTTCTGTTGAGAAATCAGCTGACAGTCGTATGGGTATTCCCTTGTAGGTAACTGAGTTTCTTTCTCTTGCTGCTTTTAAGATTCTCTCTTTGTCTTTTGCTCTTGGCATTTTAATTATGATGTGTCTTGGTGTGGTCCTCTTTGGATTCCTTTTGTTTGGGGTTCTCTGCGCTTCCTGGACCTGTAAGTCTATTTCTTTCACCAGGTGGGGGAAGTTTTCTGTCATTATTTCTTCAAATAGGTTTTCAATATCTTGCTCTCTCTCATCTTCTGGTACCCCTATAATTCTGATGTTGGTACGTTTGAAGCTGTCCCAGAGGCTCCTTACACTATCTTCGTATTTTTGGGTTCTTTTTTCATTTTGCTTTTCCGGTTGGGTGTTTCTCGCTTCTTCACATTTCAAATCTTTGACTTGATTCTTGCGCTCCTCTGGTCTGCTGTTGGGAGTCTGTATAATATTCTTTATTTCAGTCAGTGTATGCTTACTTTCTAGATGGTCCTTTATCACACCATCGAGGGTCTCATTAGATTTCCTGTACATCTCATCAAGTTTATCGACAGACTCTAGAAGCCTCTTGAGAGACCTCAAAAGTGTGGTTCTGAACTCAATATCCTCCCTTGATAATTTTGTCCTGTTTCTTTGTCTCTGCATTTTTTACGCTTTCTTGGTACACCCCCTAGTGGTCTTTGTGCGCAGTCTTGTTGTAGTTAGGCCTTGATTGTTGTAGTTAATACTAGAGGGATTTGACCTCCAGGCCGACTGGCTGTGATAATCAGCTGTGTCTGCAGTGGAAGAACTTGTGTCCTCTAGGGAGGTGCTAATCTAGCCTTTGCCTGAGGCTATCCGGCAAATGCCTCTGTGCAGGGCTTGGGCGGGGCGGGTCCCACAGGATCAACAGGGCGGTGGAGGGAGCAGTTATGGCTGCTCTCAGTCCGTCCCCAGGGGCTCTGCCTCTCTGTCCCAGCAACCGCTGCAAACCTCAGAGGGACCGAAGCCAGACAGTCCCGCTTCTCCCGTTTGAGTCTGGGTCCCTAGAGACTCGCCCGGATCTGGAGCTCTGAGTCTGAGGCTCCCTCCGGATTGAAACAGACAACCACGCCCTCAGCCACCAGCCCGTGCCGCGCGCACTCCGCACCTTAGTATTTTACTTCAGCACTGCGCCTCCTCTGATTCTCAGTTCCTCCTAGTTGTAGAACTTCCATTCAGCCAGCCTTCCTGTGGTTCTGGATGATGTCCGTTCCGTCTTTTAGTTGTATTTTTGAAGTGGTTGTTCGAGGCAGCAAACTCCGGCGTTAACCTATGCCGCCATCTTGGTTTTCTCCCCTCTTTATGCTTTCTCTTATCTCCCAGGTTCAAAATCTCCAGCTTGGAAGTTGGGCTTTGGAGGAGGTCCCCTCTTTATTCTAAAGTTTCTAAGAACCTTCTATTTCTGTTCCTAGTTCCGTGTGGTATGCACACTGGGTATTTAGTAGGGGAACCATAGGTGGTGGCACCAGAAGTGTTGCCAACAACGGGGGATCATGAGACTGCCTCTAATATTGCAGACTTAGTGGTGACTCAGCTATAATGAAAAGTAGCTGAGGCCTATGGCTTCCTTTTGCATTTCCCACCTTCTCTGGGCACATTGCTCTTTGCTCTCACATCACTAGCTAATGTTGCCCTATGGGAACCATTGCCCGTAACTAACCGATATGCTTTTATAGGTGATTGCCAGGAATATCGCATCACACATTCTGCGTTGTCCTTTGAAAAAACAACTTCACGCTGCTATTGTCAAAAATATCTGTTCGTGGTGTTTGTACTGGATAATAATCGGTTAAAACCACCCAAATGATTTTGATTCCCTCCCTTTTCTTGACTTGAATTGTGATTTCTGCATAATAACAACAGGCAGTGATCTTCTCAAAGCCTTGACTCAGGCTTTTAAAATAATCAATTTCTTATGTTTCTGGTGAGACTGTGCATATATCACCATATATCTAATGGGCTGAATTTTTCCATGTTTAGCACAGGCATTTTGGAATCTGGTAGACATGGTCTGCCAATGTGAAAAGTATGTGGAGTGTTGGGTTTAAACTTTCCACGTTTTGGTTTCTTGAAGCCGCTTCATGCTCTTTACATTACCACTTAATAATCAATCTTGTCTTCTTTTATCTTGGCCCAGTTCTTGCCTTATCTACTCTTAATCAATTTACACTTATGCTGATAATAAATACTGTTGCTTCCATTCCAAACTACATCTTTAAGAATACAACTGGAGATCTTTGTTATTGATACACTTGGGTGCACTTAGGAAAGAGCAGCATCTCAGAAACGGCTGATAAATAAGCGGTAAAATTTGGATTCCCATTTGGGTTCTTTAAATGTAACATAAAGGTATTTCAGATCCTTTCCTTGGCCTTTTGGGTCTGTAGATCTCGGGCTTCTGAGCAGCACATTTGGAGCCTTTGATCAGACAAGGGAGCCTGGCCAGCCCGGCAGCATTGTGCCTCTTCAAAGTCTTCCATACCATTTTCTCCCTCAGATTGACGCACACTGCGTGCCCACTTGGCTGGGTTTCTAAAATTTTTATGTCAGTTCCTTTGGAAACCAGTTCTCTGCATCATCATCTTTCCCCGATTTAAGGAAAGATCATACAGCTATGTTTTGTTTTTCAGCACCACGTTGCCAGTTCCTTGATGAAAAACAGATTCTTTCACGGCCATTGGGTTTCCTTGCCTCCTCTCCTGCTTGGAGAACTCAGAGTCTCGGGTTGTTTCGTAGAGCAGAGCATGACTCTGGACCGTCACTCTGGGATTCTTGGAGTGCCTCGTTTCCACGCTCCCGGAAACGGGCCCCGCACTGCTGGCTTTCTTGACGGAGAGCAGTCTCCTACTCCAGATGTACTCATCACTAGGCCATGTTGCCAAGATTCCTGCCTCAGATTTCTCTGACGGCATCAGAACCCAAAATTTTAAACTGTATAGTATTGATTGGCTGAAGACACTGGCTGATTCTTTCCAAACACTTGATATTTCATTTTTAAATGTTTCAGTTTGAAAAATGAAGTCTTTTGCTTTGGGGCTTATCATATTAATTTCCAAAGTAAAAACCATCTGGGTATTTCTCAGCTCAAACATCTCCTCTTACTTAGGGGTGTGGAGTTCTGGGATCTTATTCCTTTCCCAAAGTCACAACATTTTAGTGTTAGTACGTATTTGTGATTTTAGAAACACTGTTGTAAGGGCAGCTCCCATTTATGCCTAGCAAATAAGGCCATAACTCATTTAGGGGAGTCGAGTAGATTCCCCCCTTTTTCATCTTGGTCCTAGTACCCTTATTGGCACCTGAACTTTTTCTGATTTTTTCAAGGTCAAGAAGCAAAGAGAGAGATAGGAATCTGGCTTTTAAAGCCATATGAGCAGAAACAAATCTCAATCTGTAATTCATTTACTTTTGAGGGGTTGGGCTGTCCACGCCACTTCCCTGGGAATGTGATCTTCGGAGGATTTATAAGAGGAGAACGGGGCTTTTCCTGGCCCCACGAAACAGATGTTTACTCACCATTTGTCTCTGCTGCTTGCCCAGGGGCCACTAAGTCCAGCCTGCTGTCAGCACCCAGCATCGTCAGCATGTTCGTGCCAGCACCCGAGGAATTCACAGATGAGCAGCCGACGGTGATGACTGACAAGTAAGCGCACACAGTCACTTCCTTCACGGTGTTTGCAGAATTTGAGAGTTTGCTCCCTGAGATTATGAGAAAGCATCAGAGGAGGCGTACTGTAATTTGTTCTTCAAGTGACTGTAGCCATAAGTGTTGGTACGCATTTATTATTCTAGAAACACGGCAGCAAATGACTCCACTTATGCAGAGTCATTTTAAAAAACTTGGACGAATGCAGATAATATCCACTTACCAATGATTCCAACAATAATTTCACACAAATAAAAGCCCTCAACCAGAAGCTTCAAATTGCTATTTTGGGATAAGTTGGAGACTTGATCCTTATTCCCATTCTACCAGCAGGATCTGTTCTCTGAATCTCAAACTGGTTATGTCCTGGTTTGTCAGCCTTCAATATCCCCAGATTTCTTATAGGATAAACTCCAAATGCCTTCACTTACAAAAGGCCCATTTGATTGTGAAGGTATGGCTCTGCCACTCCTCACAGGGAACTCTTTGTCAAACCCCTTCATCGTCTCCAGAGCATGCCTGGTGTGTGCTCTCCTCTGTGATTTCATTGGTGCCCTTCTCTTTGTATTATCTCTGCCTGGTGAACTCCTATTCATGCTTCAAAACCTAGTTTAAGGCGGATTCCCTGATTCCATAAGGTCGAATAAGTCATGCCATTCTCCAAATTTCCATAGTATTTGATGCATCTATCTATTTTACCACTTATCACAGGGTATTTTAATTGTTTAGTCGTTAGCACATACATGTTTTGTCATATATTGTGAGTTCCCTAGGGTCTGGGACACTTTCTTTTTGTGTGTGTTAATCCTCACCAGAGGACATTTTTCCCCATTGGTTTTTAGAGAGAGTGGAAAGGAGGGAGTGAGAGGGAGAGAGAGAAAGAAGGAGAAAAAGAAACACTGATGTTAGAGAGACACATCCTTTGGTTGCCTCCCACATGTACCTTGACCAGGGCCAGGGATTGAACCTGCAACCCAGGTACATGCCCTTGACTGGGAATTGAACCTGAGACCCTTTGGTTTATGGGATGATGCTCTAACTACTGAACACACTGGCCAATGCGGGACTGGGTCACTATCTTCTGTATTTTATTCGCTAAGTTCCCTACACATTGCCTGGCACATAAATGCTTATTCAGTGCCTATGATAAAGAATAAGACTTACAGGGTTTTAGGTTTGGAGAGATCTCATTGGAACAAGGAGACTTCCTGGTAAAAGTGACCCAGGTAACAAATGGGGTAGGCTTGTGGCAGAAGGAGAGGAGGGAGGGGTGGAAGGGGCTGGTGAAAAGATCCAAGTAGCTGGCCCCAGCTGACGGGCATCACTGAAGAGGAATGGCGCCTGTGTTGAACAGCTCCTAGGCGTGTCCACATGTGGGGCACCTCGCTGCTTGTGGAGGACTCCTCCTGGCTTCTGCTTTGGTGTAGTTCCTCCTTTGTGTTATCCTCCAAGTCCAGTCTCTCCTAGTTGCCTTCCTGCTCGCCTGTGTCTACATTCCATTTATCCTTTTGGCTACAAATGTGAATCCTATCTTTTTAAAAAGTCAATTTTTAGGAAATATTTCTATTCTATTCTATTCTATTCTATTCTATTCTATTCTATTCTATTCTATTCTATTCTATTCTATTCTTTAGAAAGTTTTTGGATGGAAGGGTCACGGTAGCGATCATAGCTCGGGTTCCCTTGCTCTTCCCAGTAGGCTTTCCCTTCACATTATAGAGCTCCCAGCTGTGGCTGAAAATAAGAGCGTTGGCTTTGTTGAGATGAATTAAACTGAATTAAACTGAGCCTGCATTAGGTAAGACGAAGAGCAATAAGTCGTAAGTCAGTTAAGAGCAAGTCTCTCTCTTTTCCCCCTTTTTTGCTCAATCCCTCCCCCTGTGCCATTGTGTTTTTACATATAACACTCTGTAGGTGCGGTGACTTCATAAAACTGACCTGAGAGGTAGAAGAGCCTGCTCTCCAGGCTCCCAGGCTTTCTAGAGTGTTCTATTGACCCCAAAATAGGACATTTTTAAATGTAAAAGCTTAGGAAAGCTTCCATTTGTGTCTAGACATTTTTCATTTCAGCAAGTGAAAAATATCTAGTTTCTGACTCTCCCTAGCCGTACCTTCACACGCATGAAATCCCTCAGCTAGGAGCTGTAGACTTAGTCCAATAGGCGCTTGTTGTAGGAGTCAGTTCATGTGTAGGCCAGATGTTTGTGAGCTGAAAGGAAGTTTCGGTGGTCAAAGCAACCCTCCTGGTCTCTGCCATGCGTGCCGGCTGCTTCTGTGTCTATGGTGAGGGTGGCACGGGGTCTCCTATTTATTGTTAGAGTGAGACCCTGACCTCCTTTGGGGAATTTCACCAGGAAGGGCTGTATGGGATTTGTTCTCTGCCGAAACCACTGTTGGCTTTCATGGAAGGCACTTCTCTGTTTCCCTTGCAGATGCCATGACTGTGGGGCCATCCTTGAGGAATACGACGAGGAGACCCTCGGGCTGGCCATCGTGGTCCTCTCCACGTTCATTCACCTGAGCCCGGACCTGGCGGCCCCGCTGCTGCTGGACATCATGCAGTCCGTGGGGAGGTGAGCGCGGCCCCCGTGGTGCTTGGTGGGAAGGAGCCTCATTCAATTCATATATTGAGATAGAAGCTGCCAGTTCAAAAGTGAAACATTTAGTAATCTTATCGATGCTTGGTATTGGTGGGATCCACTCAGACCAATTAAAAAAAACGGAACGAACCCAACTTTTGGTGAATTTCCCAGCTGTGTAGGGTCACGAGTCCCAATGTCAGAGTGAAGCCAGAGGAAAACACACCAAGAAAACTGTTGCTTGTTGTCTGTTTCTTTGTGAGCTACTGGAGGTAACAGTGCTCAGAACTGTGTGAGTTCAGAGTAACCGCTTGATAGGTTTGAGATGTTATTCTTGTTCATCTCCCTTGGCCAGTTTTAAGAGGGTTCTCTGGGCATTTTGTAATCTTGGGGTGGCTCACTTAATAATGCAGTTGGGGCGTTGGCATGTGGGGGGTAGAGCCGAGGGGAGTGTGGCAGTGTCACAGTTCTGACTCTGAACAAGGAAGGATGCACACACCTTGGGAGCAGGGCCTTCCTTCAGCCCGACCGAGGGAAGATTAGAGTGCGCTGCTTTGAAAAGTTTCATGTTCAGAAGCTTCCATTTAGTAGATAGGACCTGAGAAGAAAAGTGAAGTATTTTATGAATATAAGGGAGGTTCAGTTCCAGTAACGAATTGTAGCCCTAGCACGAACGACTTACAGAGGTTGGACTGAAATTCCACTGGAATGTATTCCATTTCCAGTCTGCATGGGCACGAAGCCTGGCACTGTAGGCTGTGGGCATTAGACCGAGCTGTTGCTCTCAAGTGCTTTGTGGCTTAGTTGTTGAAGAGGATGGCGATGTGTGGACCAGCTGGGTAGCCAGACAAGATAGGACATGATTAAGAGCTGTAATGAGGGGTATGTGTGGTAAGTGCTATAGAAGTTTAGGGTGGAAGTGATTTCTTAGGGAAGTTCTCTGTGGAGGAGGTAGGGGAAACACTGGATTCTGCGAATTCCTGGTATTACAGGGAGGGAAAGAGCATGAATCTTAATGGAGCTAAAATTTAATTTTTTTTAATGAAGAAATTATAATTTCAAGTTAAAAACGAACAGGAAAGCATGAAAAACCCCTTGGCCCTAAAACTATATGACTACTTTATCTCCCTTCCCCCAGTTTCTCTGTGGTATCCTTAGGAGTATATACAAGTCAGAGATGGTGTAACTCTTCTACCTTTCACACTTACAAATAGCCAATATGAAAAGTAAGCCATGAACATGGGAGGTGGGGAGATAAGAAAAAATGAATTATTTCATTTAAACCCTTGATTTTAACCTCATCATAATAATCATGGAATAAATTTTATACCAACTATCAACAATACTGTGGAATGAGAGTTTTTATTAATGTCAGGTCACAATTTCTACTCGAATACTTCGCCGTGTTACAACAGGTAGGATTATTGCTCTGGTCTGGTCTGTTACCATCTCCTTGGAGTAGCTGATCTAAGTAGTAATTGATATAGAGGGGTTTTATTTTTTGATTTTACATTAAGAGAGAATAAACCTGGTTCAAGCATGGCCAGCTGTTAAGATGGAAACACAAGCTTTAAAGAAAAGTAAAAGAAAAACAGCAGACACACACACACACATAAATATATATATATATATATAAGTATATATATATATATAAAATACAAAATAAAAACACACATACATACATACATATATTTAAATCTCTACCTCTTTTGGGGAGACTGGGAGAGAGCATTTAAATCAGGGGTGGGGAACCTTTTTCTGCCAAGGGCCATTTGGATATTTACAACACCATTCACAGGCCATACAGAATTATCAACTTAAAAATGATGTTGCTATGAAAAAAGCTCCTTGATTTATTGAATTTCGAGTCCTGCCTGCTGTTGCCTTGGCAGGGCCAGACCAAATGATACGGCCCATGGGCTGGATGTTCTCTACCCCTGATTTAAAGCAAGTTTCCAGAATTCTTAACCTCAGCTGATTCAGCAAACCTGCCAATACAACAGATTCAGCAATCACCTGATTCAGGGCTTCCTTGAATGCCTCTCTTCCACAGGAGGTCATGTGCATGCACGAACAGTGGTTTATTTATTCTAGTCCCACAGGAACTATTTCCAGGGCCTTCTACGAGTATGTGAGTTCAGCACAACCCTTTCATTTATCACCCAAGCCTTTCCAAATGATTTTGTATTTTGCTCCCTATTTACATCCCCTTTAAAATTTACCCACTCTGCCCTGGCCGATGTGGCTCAGTTGGTTGGAGCATCGCCCTGTACATCAAAAGGTGGTAGGTTTGATTCTTGGTCAGGGGTACATACCCAGGTTGCGGGTTTGATCCCTGGTCGTGTGTGTATGGAGACAACCAATTGATGTTTCTCTCTCACTCTCCCTAAAATCAATAAAACATATCCTCAGGTGAGGATTAAAAAAATGTAAAAAATAAAATAAAAAATTACCCACCCCTTTTTCTAGGTACAGCCTTCAAGGTCACATTTACTGCATCATTAATTACTGTTGATTTCACTTGCCGATATTTATCTTTTCACTGTAGTATCATTAGCATGAGAAGGCCCATGACCAAAGCAACTGGGAATAGTGTCTGGTGTTACAGGTTGCTGGACCCTCTATTTCTCTCCAGATGTGTTCTTGGCTCAGATCACTCTCTTGTGGTCTTAAGCAAATAAATTTGTAGTATTTTCTTTATTTGTTTGTTTTTATTTATTTTTTATTTATTTCAGAGAGGAAGGGAAAGGGAGAGAGAGATAGAAACATCAATGAGAGAGAATTGTTGATCAGCTGTCTCCTGCACACCCACTACTGGGGATTGAGTCCACACCCTACGCATGTGCCCTGACCAGGAATCAAACGATGACCTCCTGGTTCACAGGTCAATGTTCAGCTACTGAGCCACACCAGCTAGGCTGTTTCTTTAATATCTTACTGATCATGGCATGTTTTTCTATACCTACCAATTTAGTATATTCTCCTTCTGTACCTATAGATTGTTTCCACGTGTACAGAACCATATAGTTATACTTTTCAAAAACTTCATGTTATATAATGATTACTTATCCTAATACATTTTTCAGTTTGTCCTTTCAACTTAAGAAATAGCTGACAGATACCCCTGTTACTCATTTTACTATCTTAGAGAGGCGTTTACAATCTGCGATTTGTTTGTTAGGGTTCAGAGGTTGTATACGAAGAAATACATTTTGAGTTAATATGGGGTGGGGTGGGCCAAATGCTATCCTGACACCTCTCTGGCCTGGCTGTAGAGGCCATTTTGCAGATTGGCTGGGCGATATTAAACCAACTTAACTGTATGCATTTCCGTGGGAATATCTGATTTCATGCAGAAATCAGCTCTCAGGAACAAGGTTAAGTTGAACCCTGTAGCCTGACCGCTGTGTGGGCCCTCTGTCCCTGGTCAAGGGAATTGTCAATGGGTTCACATGTCTCGCTGTCTAGACCAGATCCACACGGTCCTACCGCAGTACTATGCACTTCCTCATGAAGGCCTCAGGTACTCATGGACTCTGTTTACTTGCTTCCTAGATTGGCATCCAGCACTACTTTTTCTAATCAAGCAGAAAGGTAAGGTCCTAAAGTGAGCCCAAATCTCACTTCCTTTTGTCTTTTGTGCTTGTCCATCCTGTTTCTAAAACAGCAGAGTGTGTACCGTGGAAGGAATATTGTTAGTTCAGTTGCTGTTCCCCAGAGCACGTGTCCATTTTCTCTTCACACCTTCGTTCATTCCTTCATGCGTTCACTCATTTCAGTCAGTAAGTATTTTTGAGCCCACTCTGTACCAGGCATTGTGCTAGATGCTAGATTTCAACTCGGGGCAAAACGGACATGATCCTGACCTTGTAGGGCTCACAGACTGTCTGGGAGGCAAACATGAACAAAATATCTGCACGAGTTTATAATTGTAAACAGGACTGAGTGCTATGAACAAAAAGTGTAGTGAGACATGTGTGACATCCATTTATTCAACAAGCATTATGGAGTGACGACTAGGAACTGAGGATATGGTAGTTAACAAAACAGCACATCCTGGCTCTCATAGAACTTATATTCTAGTTGGAGAGGCAGACAAGCAAATTAATGAGGAAGCTGGTATGTAATTTAATATCAGTTAGTGCTAAATGCTATGAAAAATAGTAAGTCCAGGAGAGAGAGCGCTACTGAGGGTAGTGTTTAGATATAATAGTCAGGGCAGCCTCTGAGGAAGTGGCCTTTGAACAAAACCTGAAAAAGGGGAGGTGCATACATGCAGCGATTAATAGAAAGAATCTTCCAGGCAGAGGAAGCAGCAAAGACCGTAAGTCAGGAGAGGACCTGGTGTATTTGGGGAACAAGACTAATGTAGGCTGGAGCAGAATGAGCATGGAAGGAGGGGTAGGGGATGAGACGGCAGGGGGAATGGGAGGCCAGGCCAGGAAGAGCCCGGAGGCCATTGTAAGAAGTCCGACTTGTACCGAGTGAAGCAGAGAGTGGGGAGTGATATGACTTAGCTTTATCACACACCCAACCATGTATCCAGTCATCATCCATTTTATTTTTGAATGCATTTCAAAGTAATTTTCAGACATCAGCATGCTAATTCTTCAGCAGTTATCATTAATAAAGTTTGATTTTTGTTTATGTTTTTTTCTAATGCAAAATTTACATACAAGAATGTGCACATATCATAAGTATACATTAACCGAGTTTTGACAAATGCATACACCTGCATAACCCAAACCTCTGTCAAAATAGAACATTACCATCACCCTCAGAGAGTTCCCTCATGCATCTTCCTAATCTCCACCCCCCGAGAGGCAAACACCATCATGAATTTTTCCCATCATACAGCTTCATATAAATGGAATTACTCTTTTGTGTCTAACTCCTTAGCATAATGCTTTTGAGATTCATCTATGTTTTTACATGTATCAGTAGTTAGTTTCTTTTTCAGAGCTGGTTTCCTCTTTCTTCTGGTAACTCACCCCCTAATCACTCTGGGACTATCCTTTCTAATGCTTTAATCTGAGGGCCAGGGCCACATAGTCACCGTGGCTCCCTCTTTTGACATGCAGAGATGGTACAGAGGGTACAGGGGGAAACCGCACACATCAAAGTCCTATCCATTGTACAAGTACCAACCCAGAGCCCCTGTCCCCCCCAAAATTTCCCAGCTTTCCCGCTAGGAATGAACACCCCCCTCCCTGTATTTTTTCTCAGAGAAGCTCTCTCTGGTAGCCAGTGACACTTTCTGGGAGGATCTTACTGATAATCCTCATCCTGCGTTCTAGTCCTGACTCTGCCAGTCTCTAGAGGATATGGTAGTTTATATGGTAGTTCACTTGACCTTCAAAGACCACAAGTCTTTGTGGTCTTTGAAGGTCACCTTTCATCTCTGGGTCTCAAAACCCTCATCTGTACACGGGGGTGGCTGGAATTAACCTGCGGCCACCCTGGCACTTCCTGGTTCTCTCTTTCTAAAAACTTATCAGCAGGATTCTATGTGATTAGACTATTTCATCTCACGGATGAAAATGACAATAAGGCATTCCATCCATGGGTTGGTACATGTAAATGCCTGAACTCTAAATAAGTAAGAAAATAAATACCTAACCTCATTCGGTTTTATCCCACGATTCCTTGTCTTTCCTTTCCCTGCTCACCCCCAGCATGATGGTTCCGGGCAATGCAGCGGGCGTGGCCAAGCAGTTTCTGCGCTGCATCTTCCATCAGCTGGCCCCCAACGGCATCTTCCCGCAGCTGTTCCAGAGCACTATCAAAGGTAATTCATCCGTGGGGAGTGCAGGCTCCATTGATGTGGCTGGTCGCCGGAAACCGGAACCTTACTAAATCTGACTGTTCACTTTCCAGATGGGACTTTTTTACGGACCTTAGCCACGTCTCTGATGGACTTCAATGAGCTGAGCTCTATTGCTGCTCTCAGTCAGCTCCTGGAGGTAGGTCTGCTTTGATGACACTCTAAGCTCCCACTGAAATCCCTGCTGAGGAAGAAAGTCATCTAATTTAAAATTTAAAGTAAACAATTTTAATTTAAAATTAAAAGTAATTTAAAGTTTAAAAATTAATGTAAAAATTGCCAATGCCTAGGCAAGTGTCAGTTAGACAGTGCAGTTTTGAATGAATTTACTGTTTACTTAAAGCATCTTGACACCCTCAACTAAAGGGTGGACCATTGAGAACTCACCTCTGAGAACTTCCTACCTTTCTAAGGTGCGGTGGGTAGAGCAGTGTGCGCTGTGTCATGAGACTTGGATTCAAGTGTCAGTTTCACTTATTCAATGTATCACGAGATTTGGATTCAAGTTCTGCTTATCTGATGTATCACTGTCATGAGACTTGAAGTCAATTCTCAGCTCCACTCAGTCTTTGCATTGCGAGACTTGGATTCATGTCTCAGGTCCTCTGCTTATTAGCTCTCTCAATTAGCGTGGAGTGTTGGCAGGTTGCCATAGGGACTTTGCTGCTGGTCATTACTCTTAGTCTCTGGCCAATAGAGTTTCCCGCAAGCATCATTCATTGTATCTCTTTAGCATCTAACCATGCCAATTGTAGATGTTTAAACGATGTTTTTCTTACTTACATTTCACCTTTTCACACTGAGTCAATGATCACAATTTTTCCTCCTACATTTGTCCGACTGTGTTGATTTTTCTCTGTACTCCTGCCAATTGCAATGCTTACCGTATACAGTAGGCACACAACACAATTATAGCCTGAATATGTGATTTTTAAAAATTTATCTTTACCAAGTAGCTACACAAATTCCCATGCTGTTTCAGCAGTTGATCGCCTATGCTTTTGTTTTTAGGGTCTAAATAACAAAAAGAATTTACCAGCAGGGGGTGCTATGATACACTGTTTGGAGAACATTGCTACCTTCATGGAAGCTTTGCCCATGGATTCTCCTAGTAGCCTCTGGACCACAATCAGCAACCAGTTTCAGACATTTTTTGTCAAGCTGCCTGGTGTTTTGCCTCTGAAGGTAAGCTGAGCCCAGGATTTCATTTTAAATTACTTGTTTCTGTTTGCAGATCATCCATCTTGTTTCATAAAGGGCTGTCTGGAATCTCTGTTAGCCCTGGAGTGGAGAAGATTATTTAGGTTGTTCTCTCTGAATGACCGCTATATGCAGTGAGCATTTTGACTTAGTGATTTCATGTTTCCAGTTTATAGAAAAAATTGTCAAGTGGATATTAAGTAAATACTTAGGTAAATGAGTAAGCAGTTTTCTCTAAAAGGAGACCAGACATATAATGTAAAGCTTCGACTTTAGAGAATTATCTAAATGGAAGTGATTGCTATGTATTGGTGAATACTGTACTTGTAAGACCAAGGTGATATTCTTGATGGCTTTACACCCTCCTCTCTCCAGCCCACCCTCCAAGAATACACACACACGGGCCTCGCTGGAAATCTGATAGCCTAAGAAACATTTTCAACATGAGCCCACTAAACGTGAAAACAGAATCCTATGCTGTTGAAGCTGGAAGGGACCTATGAAAGCCATCCTTCCCAATGTCCCCATTTTCCAGATGGGGACTGCATATTCAGAGAAGCAGTGGCAGCGTGAGGATTAGCACTCCCTGACGCCCAGTCCAGTGTCCTTTCCACGAACAGACTTCTAGAGTCCTAAAGCAGGGGTGACTCGAAGCATTCAGGGCTCTGCAGCTGCGAGGAAGAGGTGTTGGTGGTGACCATTGCTATGTCTATGAACCGCATTTGCTCTATGCAGATCACAGCTAGAAGTTTTCAACTTGTTAATGAATCACTTGTTAATCTGACAGGTGAAGTTACATGTTAGCAGCTCCTCTTCTAAATTGAGTATCACATGTATGTAAAATGTTTCATAAAGACCAATCACCTCTGATAATACCTTTTTCCAAATTGGCAGATTTGGGAAATGTGACCCCCCACATAGGTTCTGTAAGGTCGATAATCCAGGGACCCTTAGGTTGGTGCTGCTTTCTTTGAGTTTGAAATTACGTGAGAAGCAGGAACGCTGAGATCTTTACTCTCTCTCACATCTTTTGATTCTTGTCTACCCACAAGTCTGGACTAGCTGAATAAATCCAAGCAAAAGGATTAGTACTTTGAAACCATGTACATATATAGCTACTGCGCATGAACATGTAGGAAATCAAGTACACACGCTTTAAGTTGGCCACATGGAACCTCCCTGGGACCAGAGAGCCATCCAGAGCCATCTGTTGCTTAAGAGGAGGGGTGGGGCTAGCCTGGTAAATTCAAATGCTGATAGGCTGATGCTGTAGTCAAAATATTAAACTTGGGCCCTAACTGGTTTGGCTCAGTGGATAGAGCGTTGGCCTGCGGACTCAAGGGTCCCAGGTTCGATTCCAGTGAAGGGCATGTACCTTGGTTGCGGGCACATCCCCAGTAGGGAGTGTGCAGGAGGCAGCTGATCGATGTTTCTCTCTCATCGATGTTTCTAACTCTCTATCCCTCTCCCTTCCTCTCTGTAAAAAATCAATAAAATATATTTTTTTAAAAAATATTAAACTTGGTCCCTGGCCAGTATCCTCAGTGGTTAGAGCATTGGCCTATAGACCGAAGGGTCTTAGGTTTGATTCCTGGTCAAGGGCATGTACCTGAGTTGCGGTTTGTCTGTCTGTCTCTCTCTCTCTCTCTCTCTCTCTCTCTCCCTCTCTCTCTCCCTCCCTCCCTCCCTCCCTCCCTCCCTTCCACTCTCTATATAAAAAAATCAATGGGAAAAATATTCTTGGGTGAAAATTAACAAAAAGAAAAAAAATTAAACTTGAACACTGACCAGTTGGACGTATTGCCAGTTGCAAACAACTGGCAAGTCTAAATTGTGACCTTCAGTCCTGTCCACAGGGACCACCCTGACTGCCCATAGGAGTGAAATGAGATAAGGAATAAGAAGAGTCCAGACCCTTGCAAACTGGAGAGCACCAGTGCCTTCCACAGGGTCAGCTGCTGCTCCTCTCCAGCCAACTGTTCTGTGGGAATGCAGGCCTCATGCTGTTGATCTTCCCATGTTTTCCAAAATGTTATTTCCTGATTTTAAAAACGCTCTAGGGACCTGATGCGCAGCCAGTTTTCAGCCCCTGGTTCAAAGTAATGTAAATGTCACATCCACTCCGATGGATATTGAGCAGATTAAATAGACCGACGTTTCCCTTGGGAAATACTTGTGAAATACTTTCGGAACTTCAGAACATGTGTGAAAACTGCCCTGCTAGATCAGATCTGGGCCTTTTCTCTGATTATCTTCTGCTTTTGTTGTTGTTGTTGTTAATCCTGACTGGAGAATATTTTTTCCGTTGATTTTTAGAGAGAGTGGAAGGGAGGGAGGGAGAGAAGGAGAGAGAGAAAGAGAGAGAGAAACATCGATATGAGAGAGACACATTGATTTTCCCCAGGGTTTTGTCGTGTCTTTTGGTAGCAGAGGAAGGGCAGATGAAACTGGCTTTTATTTGGATTAATAAGTCTAATGGTTTTAAACTGATCTAAGTTTCTTTTCAACATGGCCTTTAACAAATTAGTGTAGATGTGGGCACATTTAATATCTACCTATTCACCTATGTTAATCCATCCATCCACCCGTCCATCCGTCTGTCTGTTTGTCCAACTCTTTAATGCTATCTGACTTTATTTTAGGGATATATCTTTGAGAAATAGTTTGTAAACTATGTTTAATTATTTAACTGTTTAACATTGTTTAATACATTTTTTTAAAACCTGAGAATGATGTTTATCAACATGAATATATGGCATGGAAAACGATAAGGAGGCAGCTATATCTCAGATTTTGTTTCCTAACGTAAATGCTTATAGGAAATATATGAAGCAAAGATATATGAAGAAGGGTACCGACTTTTACTTTTTTGCTATTTGTTCACAGTGTTCTTTAGATTCCAGTTTGAGAATTATGATTTGTCTCTTGAAGATCCCCTCTACCAATGCCACAAGGGTATGTATGTTTCAGACAAACAAAACCAGTTGGAATTTAGTTATGTTTTCGCCTGCAAAGCAAGCATGGGCAGTGCTGAAGGAGCAGTCACTGCGTGCTGAGCGCTTCACTTGCAGTCTCCTTCAAAGTGTCCAGTGTGAAGAACTCAACTATATCACAGCATCATTTTTAATCATTGGTCCTCTCAGTTTGGGGCCATGTCCATCAGTCTGTCCTCCATACGATGAACAAGGTGATCCTTCTAAACACAGATCTCATCACATTAATTCCTCGCTTTAAAATCTTTGATACTTTCTCATTTCTTTTAGGGTAATGTCCAAAATGCCTTAATGTGGCATAAGAAGAAGGTACTTCATTAACTTGCCAGCCCACCTTTCCAATTTAGTCTCCGGCTACCTGTCCCATCCCCCATGCCTCCTGCCTACTTTCAGAATCATCATCATCATCAAAACAACAACCACTGTTTCCGAGCACGTACCAGATGGCAGGCATTGTGCTAATGGCTTTGCATTTATAGTCTTATTTAATTTCATACTTCCTTGCCTTTGCTTAGGCCATTTCCTTTACCTGAAATGCTGTATATCCTTGTCAGTGAGGCGAACTTCTCAATCTTCATAATGAGAATTTGAATTTCAATGAAAAACGCTCACATTCTCTGTAGCAACTTCCTCCTATATCATATCCCACGGTACGTGATAGAGCTCTCTGAATTAGCTCTTATATTGTACCGACGTCTCCCCAGTGAGACTGAGCTTCATGAATTCCAGCACTGCATCCCGTTCACCTTTGCGTTCCTGGCTTCCTTTCTGGGCTGCGTTATATGCAATGGTGCAGTAGTTGGTACTGCAGTGGCTTGTGACTATTAGTTAATGTACCAAGAAGGCACATTTCCCATAATGTTTACCTTGAATGTGCTTTCACAGACTCATGGTTGATGCTGGAAAGCTGCAAAGAGATCATTTGGTCTAATCTGTTCGTTAACAGTTAAGGGAAAGGCTCAGAGAGATGAAGTCTTGGCCAAGGTTACAGAGCTGGTTAGTGGAACTTAGGTCCTTTGCTTTCAAGTTCCTTGATTTTTCTGTTGCACCATATCGCCCCATGGCCATGCTGCTTTGCTGGATGAAAGAGCAAATTTCTATGTAGGTTTGAATTGAGGTTTCTTTATTTCTTGGCAAGCAGGGATGCGTTATATATCAACAGAGACATATTCCTGTCCCCATTCATCCATCATCCAAGGCAACATTTATACAGAGCAAAGAATGCTGAATCAGCAGTACTACTTCAAAGCGTTTCTTTTTAAGATTTATTTTATGTGGCAAGTACTACATGGGTTTATGTGGGGAATACAAACAAATTAAAGATATAATTCCTACCCTCAGGGGCAACTCACATGTAATGAATTCATTTTTATATCAATAAGGAAAAAAGGATCTTAAAATGACCATATCCTTTGATTTAGTCATTTATTTTCTGGGACTCTATTCTAAGGAATAAGAAGAAAATGCAAATATTGTGCAAAAATCTATTTATTGGGATGTTATCATGAAACGGACTTTGTGGTCATTGAAATGGATGATTATGAAGAATTAAGTAGCATTAGACATTACTTTTATTATTATATTAACGTAGGATTGTATATGTGTAAGATTTCAACTTATAAACTTGTGTGCCACAAAGAAGGGAAATATAACAAAATGTTATCACTGGGTGGTAGGATTATGGATGACTTCTATTTCCTCATCTATACTTTCTACAGATCCTGCATTTACACATGGAGCGAGCAGGCATTACTTTCATAATCCAGACAGTTAGGACTGTAGAGGTTCCGAGGTAGTGGGAATAATGGCACGGGAGTCTTTTGGAGCCCAATCTAAATGATCCTGCCTTCCCCACAGAGCAATCTGCCTCTGGAAATTGCCCTGGAGTTTGGTTTTGAATCCCATTCGATATCTGCATGGCTTTGAGCAAGTTACTTCCTGCTTAACTGCCTCAGCTGCAGCATAGGGGTGCTGAAGCTTCAGAGTTACGAAGCAGATCACAGCTAATAGTGATGGAGGGCTTATCCCCTTTAATTCTCACAACAACGCAGTGACGTGGAGGGCATTGTTATCCGTCCTTTGCAGAGGAGAGAACCAAGTCCAGAGAGATTCAGTCACCTATCCAAGGTCACAGAGAGCTAGAGTTTGAAAACACGTGTGTGAAACTCTAGACCTGTGTCCTTACCTGTTGTAGCATACTGTCTCCCCAGGATTGTTCTAAGGAATTTGAATAAGAGAAACTATATGAAAACATCTAACTCTGCCTGATACTTAGTTGGTGCTCCATAAATGTTTCTAAATGGCTTCAGAAAGCATATGGATTAAAACCGACCCTTTATGGGTGGGTTTCAGATGGGGAAAGCAAAACTGGCGATGCCTTTTTGATGCTAACCTTGGCAGGAAGCTGGGTTATGATGAACTGTCTCTAAGCTAATCGTGCTTTGGTGCTCACAGGCCAGGGTTGGCTTGTGCTATCTAACTGAGGTGACAAACTTTGAGAGGAGCTGGATCTGATGAACCCATAGAGCCCTAGGGGTTCTGAGAAATAGAGTGGGAGATCTAAGCAAACCTCTCCGAGTCTCGGCAGCTGGGGGTGCACAAGAGGATAGCATTGGAGTTCGGTGGGTTTAAAAATGATGCCGTCTGAAAAAAAATGCTTTCTTAAAGCAATAAAATGATTAAGCCATGCTCTTCAAGCCATTGATTGAAGGTATAGTTCTGTTCTTGTTAGACCAACAGCGTTGGTACAGTAGCCACCTGGCAACAGATTTTAAAGAAAAAGAAAAGAGTGATCCCATTAAAGTGTCATAAGACTTTAATACGTTTTAAAATGAAAGAGTCAGCAATGGATTTTATTTGGCCCCAATCTCATTGCAGAGTTTGTTGGAACCGTTTTCAAAACTGCTCAGCTTTGTAATTCAGAATGCTGTCTTCACTCTGGCCTACCTGGTGGAGGTGTGTGGCTTATGTTACCGAGCTTTCACTAAGGTAAGTGTGCATAGTTGTGTCAAATCCCCGTTAAGCTAATTGCTTCAATATAGTTTTAAAATGGGTAATTATACTGAGGTCTAATAAATATCATTGGAAAGAAACACTTTACATCTACATATATAAAAGCCTAAGTGACTGTCTGACTGTTCGACTGTCCAACCGGTAGCTATGATGCACAATGACCACCAGGGGGCAGATGCTCAATGCAGGAGCTGCCAAGCTGTGGTGACTTGGCAACTGCGGTTCTCAGGTGATGCACCTGGAACCAGGGAGGAGGGAGCCTGATTCCAGAGTGCGTCACCCAAGAACCACCCTCTTGGAATCCGGGACCCCTCAGGGGATGTCAGAGAGCTGGTTTTGGCTAAATCCCTGAAGGCCAGGCCGAGGGACCCCACCAGTGCATGAATCCGTGCACCGGGCCTCTAGTATGTACATAAAATGTCTTAAATATGCAAGTTTGGAGGATTGAGAATCATATAGTTTAGAAGAGAAGAGCTATTTAAAAAAATATTTTTATTGATTTCAGAGAGGAAGGGATAAGGAAAGAGAGATAGAAACGTATTGATAAGAGAGAACCATTGATCGGCTGTCTCCTACATGCCCTGACTGGGGATTGAGCCCTCAACCCGGGCATGTGCCCTGACCAGGAATCCAAACCATGACTTCTTGGTTCATAAGTTGATGCTCAACCACTGAGCCATGCCGGCTGGACAAGAGAAGAGGTATTTTGATTGAAATGAGATAATAGTCTAAATGACCTCTTAAAGTCCTTCTCAAGTTTACCCATGATTAATGGGCTAGCCATCACTACATATTATTTTATACCCAAAGTAGAAAAAAATTAGGCAGTCATTTGTAAAAGCCTGTGAAGAGCTCCTTAATTCTCATCATTTATCTGTCTCCCCAGTGCTGGGTTCTCGGCCTCTGAGATTGTAATCTCATCTTTTGTCATCTTGCCTTAATAATGCTTTCTCTATTGCATTAGCTTTAGATCCCCTGCCCCACCACTGGCGAAGTGGAAAACTACTGCTTGCCCAGTGCATATAGCAGCCTTGTTGGAGCTGGTAGATGCTAATGGAAAAGCAGGAGGCATTTCTGTCCTTACGAACAATGTGCAAATCTTACTTTCCAATTTCCAAGTTTATTTTCAATGGGGTCTCTGTTTCTGCTGTTTTCTTGAATGTTCAGAATGCTCCTTTATTCATGTTGTTCACTTCTGTAAGCCCTTTATTTTCCTCATAAAAATCTAATTTTATACCAAGGCTTTAATTCTATTTAAAACATAGTTGTCTCATTTCTTTCCATTTTGTGGCCACTCTGCCATGTTAAGTGTTCCGTGATAATCCTCTCTTTAGTCTTTCTGATTATAAACCATTACTCTGTCTGGAATGATATGTTTCCTAACTACCAAAATAATCAGCATTTTGTCTTTTTTCAAATCCTTCCTGAAAAATAACCTTTTCCTTCTTTTTACTTAAAAAAAAAAAGATCTGTAGGACACAGCACCAAATAGAATGAAAAGATGCTCTGTATTTAAAAGTCATTTTCTTTATGCTTGATTTATTTAAATTAGTGCATTTTCCAAAGGAGGAACCATAATGAGTTTGAATTTATTAAGTTGTCCAGTATTGGTATTAATGACAGGGGAACTTCCACCAATTTGAATTCAACATATTCTTGGATTTGAATATTCACTATACATTATTATCCCCTCATAATCGATCATAACTTTAGGGGCCTCCCACATCCTACTGTCATCACCCTTTCTCATTTTTCAACTTGAAATGAATGTTACTTACAGAAAGCTTCAATCTAGGGTGTTCCCACCTACTTCATAGATAATGAGAAACTATCGGAAACTGTTCAATAGCAGTATCTAATCAAGCCTTCTCTATATTTAATAAAAAGAAAGGGCATGGAAACATAAGGGACTTGGAGACTTCTCTTTCTGCCAATCTGGCATCCTAGATAACCTGAAAACTGCCCCATTTAAACACCAGAAATGCTGGATGAAATAAACATGATTTTTAAAATAGAGCTAATTTTATAAAAATGAAAGGAGACAAAAATGCAGAGGACATTGAGAACCAGAGGGTAAGCATACAAGCTGATAGTGTAGAAGTCTCGAGATAGGGAAGGGGCGGTGGTGCTTGCTTCGGCAACTTAGTGGCTTGAGTTTTAAAGCCCACACAGAGAAAGGAGCTGAGGTCTTGGGACTATTTTAGGCTGGGAGTTGGAACGGAGTCATCCCCAGCAGAAAGTCAGGACCCTTGACAGGCCATCCATTTGGTAAAAGGGTGATTGGGAAAGAATATATTCTTATATGGAGGTGACAAAAAATGGGATCTGTATAATCTGAGAACTGAAAGATTTATAGTAACTTTGAGAATTAGTAAACATGAACCTACCTTTGAACATGTTTAGAATTTGATTTATAATACCTACATGCTCTGAACTAAAAAGCCAAGTAACATAGGTGCTGAGCAAGGAATAGCATTGGAGAGTCTGGCAGAAGCAAACCTGAAGTCAATCCTCAAACCTCTCTGGAGGGATATGCTTTCGACTTAGGCCTAACAGGATTTCCACAAATAAAATCCTGATGAACATGAGCCAGAATCTAAAATTATAAATCATATGAAGAAATAATCCACCATGAGCTAGATAACAGAGTCAACAAACAGCAAGATTATTTTTCCCCTAAGGATTTCCAGTATTAGAACGATGTGATAGAAATTATAAAACATACTTTAAATGATAATCAGGCAAAGGAGAATTAAAAACATGAGAAGACATTTAGTCACTTAAAAAAAACACACCCAGAAAGATTTGAAAAAAGTAGGTAGTCTAGAAATGAAATAGTCACTGACATAAAAAAAAACTTGATGGACAGGTTAAACAGCAAATTAGACATAGCCAAAGAGGGAATTGGTAAAATGGAAAGTAGAACTGAAGAAACTACATAGTATGCAGCAAAGAGATGAAGAGATCACGATGAGAAAGAGAAGTGTTTCAGAGAGGGAAAATGGGTTTCTTAGCAATTCTAGAATTGATGAAAGTCATTAATGCTTTGATTCAGGAAGCACAATGAGCACTAAAAGTATTACAAATAAACTAAAAATTTACCTGCTCATGTCATAGACTACATAAGTAAGGTACAAATTGACAGAACAACCAAAACAGATAACATTTTTTTAAGAGCAAGCAAAAGAAAAGACACTTTGTAGATAGACTGACAACAAACTTCTCAACAGCACAATGGAAGCCAGAAGATAATGGGGAAAACGTCTTTAAAATTGTGAGAAAAAAAATAATGGTTCACCTGGAATTCTCTACCAGCTAAGCTATTATTTAAGAGTGAAGGCTAAATAAACTATTTGGAAAATTAGAAATTTCCTAATATATTTTTAACTGAAACAAGTACTAAAAGATGTATTGCAATACATTATGAGGCCAATAGATAGTTGATACTAACCTGACAGAGATACAAAAATTCTGAAGGAATAATAGCAAATTAAGGATTTTTTCAAAAAGCCAAAGCCTCATGACCTAGTGAGGATTTTCTTGAAAAATAATAGTGGTTTAACTATTAGAACACTTATTTATGTCACCGTGTTAC